AGTGGGCCCAGTGGTGGCCCAAGTGTCCCTGCAGCCTGAGGACCAGCTCTACTTGCCAACAACTTGTCCCTCTGTCCACTGTGGCTGTGCTCCCATACCTGTTGCCAACACTGTGTCTCTGTGTCTCTAGTTTTGCTTCTCTTGGACAACCTTGCTGCTCTGTCTTCCATCTTTTTTTCTTTGTCTAGTTCACTATTCTCTCTCTGATATCAAAGTTTTGTTGTTGTTATTGGAGTTTTCGGCCTATGTTTAATCTCACATAGCATTTTTAGCAATCTGTTAAAAATAGGTGAATGGAATTATTGAAGAGGGGCCAATGGCAGAAGTGCCACTAGGAGGAATCAAATGTTCCTTTGACTTGACAGTGAATCTGGAAAGAAATTGATATACTCAAAGCTATGATTAGGAAGCAAGAGAAGCAGGGTTTTTGGTGAATGAGATGTCAAAGATAACTGCTAGGAACTCCTAAGAGCAATGATGTATGTCCTCTGAAATGGCAACATATGGAAAGAATGATGATTAAGGGGAGGTGATAGTGGAAATGAAGGCTTTGTCAATGGCCAGCCACAAGAAGAGAAGAATGGGTATATCTGTTGCACTTGTTCACAAAGCGGGGAATGTTTGAGACACTAGTTACAGAGAAAGGAAAAACAAATGAGCAAAGGAAATATAATGGGATTGCCCTGTGCTGCTGGGAGTTCCTTTGAGATGAATCATCCTGAGTTTGTAGTAACCCAAGAAGGACTTGTCCAGAGGTACTCAGCTGCTCCTGTGTGAGCATTAAGAGAAGCAGTGATCTTAGAACATGGGTGTTTGGAATTTTGCATGGTGGGTCTGGTCAATTGCATGTTTTGCTAATCTTTTTGTATACTGTAAAAGTGTGTCTTTGCCAAGGCACCTTCTGATTAGTTTAATAAAGAGCTGAACAGACAGTAGCAAGGCAGGAGAGGATAGTAAGGAGTTCCATGCAGAGATGGGAACTCTGGGAAGGGATCAGATAGTTGAGCTAGTGAGACACAGAGGAAGTCAGATGTACAGTACTGAGGAGCAGTAACAAACCATGTGGTACAACATAGATTAATATAAACAGGTAAGTTTTAAGAGCTAGTTAGGAACAAGCCTAAGCTAAGGCCAAGCTTTCATACTTGATAAGAAGTCTATGTGTCATTATTTGGGAGCTGGCAGTCCAAAGACCTGCTACAATGATTGAAGTAGAATAATTAATTAAAATATATAAATAAGAGATTGAAATTATGTATGGTGGTGTGTGCCTATAATTCCAGCACTTGAGAGGCTAATGTAGAGGGATGTGAGTTTAACTCCAGGCTTAACTACACAGTAATACCCTGTCTCAAAAAATGAGCAGGACAAAACAAAACCCCAGAATGATAATGTGCCAAAGTCCAATTTTCTACTTCATTGTAAAGAAAAAGAGGGTAGTAATGGGTATAAACTCCAGAGTTCAGAGTTCATCTGGAAAATAAACTTTCACCTAGAATGTAAGAGAAAGGCGAAGGTCTGCATTCAGAGCACTTTTCCTCTCCTCTTTAAGCACCTTCCTCTACTGTTGTAATCTCAACCACATGAGGACATTCCCTAGCCCCATCCTCTCCTTTTACTCTCCCACCTCCCCCAAGTCCCTTCCTCCTCTGTATATCCTCTCTCCAAGCGCAGAGTGTGTAGAAGGTATAACCATGAATGGTTAATATTGTTAGGGTCCCCAGGAAATTTGAGTAATTGTGCAAGCTTTCTGTAGCTGTCATTTTGCATATGATTTTTAGAATCCTCTTCCAAATACAGCAAGACTACGCAATGTCAGCAATGCACCAGCTTGCACTTTCAAAGGAGAGTTAGAGAGACCCAGGTAAACAAGAAAAGTGAAAGCAGGCTTCCTGGGGTGAGGCTTCTATTTCCTAAAGGAGAACAGTGGAGAGGGTTGAGGAACAGGGTCCATTATCTAAACAAGATCAACAGTGGAAAATCGAGGACCCAGGGACCACATAAATTACCAAAGTCAAGTGGATTATAGACTTTCAGCCTTAGACTCTTCCCGTCTTAAGGGGATAAATCCACTATTTTCCCTTTTCACTGTGTCTTGGTTTTGTGCCTTTTCTGAATGTTTAATTTCTTGTAGTAGCCAGGGAATGATCTTTGAAACCCCATAGACAATCTCATCATCCTCATTATGTTTGGAGTCTTGGGACAACAAGAAAGCAGCTTTGTCCTTTAGCTTGTACTTTTCTCTTTCTTTCATTAGTGTCATGTGCACTGATTCATTCAGCCTTCCCATAACTATTTTGTAGGCTGAGAGCAGAGTTTTCTTGTCCCTCAGATGCTCTCAAATAAACATACTAAGGCTTATATTAATTACAAATCCTTGGCCAATAGCTCAGCTGTATTACTAACTCTCACAACTTAACCCATTTCTATTCATCTATTTGCTGCCCCAAGGCTTTTACTTAAATCCCATTTTGAATGTCTGACTCGTTCTCCGTCTGTCTGGCGACTCCTTTGACTGCCCTTTCTTGTCCCATCATTCTCAGTTTGCCTTTCCCTCCTATCTCTATCCTGTTCAGCTATTGGCCAATCAGCTTGTTTACTAAACAAATTACAGTAACATATATTCACACAGTTGTACAGAAGGGTTATTTCATATAAGGAGTAACTGACATGACCCGTGCATTGACCTCTGTCCTCCAGTAACCCACATTTGGGGTATTTCAATCTTTCCCTCTTTTATGACTTCATAAAACAATGATCTGAGAGATTCTGATTAGATTTGTGTTGACATCACTCACCCCAGTATGTGTGTAATTGTCAATAGCCATTTTTACTTGTCGGTCTCTCTTCTGGCACTTTATAAGCACCAATGCATTTAATCTTAAAACCAGAGGCACAGAGAAGCCAGTTCTGGAGAATGCTCAGTCTGAGGTTATAAGAGGTTAGAACCAACTGAGCAGTCCAATCAGCTGTGGCTCAAGGCAAGGGAGAGAGAGCTGTGTTTCTAATGTGCTCAACTGTTAGTTCTCTATTTCTCCTTTAATTTATCAACACTGGGAGCTCACCATCATTATTTGTTGTTTGGATGGTATTAAGCTTTATGTAAACATGACAAAAGTGGAAATCTGTCCATTTCATCTAACTTCCCTTACTCACAAAGACTTCTTGGATGGTCAGTGGGATCCATAAAAATAGCAAGATATAGAGTTCCAGACCTTGTCCCCTGACATAAGGCATGTTGAGTATCACTTAATGAAGCAGAAAGAAGAATGTACACTTTGGAACTTGGGGGGCTGGGGAAGAGAGAATGGGAACTAAGTAACTCAAATAGAGTAGTTAATATAATATCTATTTTCTGTTGAACCATAGAATTAGAAGGGACAGTTGTACTAGAGCCATATGAATCTTCTCTGTATTGTTGCATTTTAGTGTATATGTGGCTGATGTGAGCAAAACCATTTATAGTGCTTTAATCAGAGCATCGTGTTGAAAATATCAAAAGCAGCAGACTAATTCTTAGTGTAGAGAAGAGGGATAAAAAGTAATAAAGCCAGAAGCATAAAAACACTAAAAGCCTCAGTTTTCTGTTGACAAAAAGGAAATGAGTGAATATTACAGGTTCTCATTACTGGGAGTTTGATGTATAGGGTGTGAAGGGAAGCATGAATTCTGTCTCTCACCAGTGAGGGTATTTATTCATCCTTACCTTCATTTTCATGTTTCTTTTCATATACCTTATTGCCACATTTCAACTCATTCATTCACTCATCTATTCATATGCCCTTGAATGAACACTTTTTAATTGTTTCCTACCTGCCATGTGTTTTCCGATGTGTGATGAAATTTAATGCATGACTTGAATTAATAGAATTAATGGAGACATTATTTAAGCAACTATTTAGGAAATGTTATGCACAATTTTCTACCTTTTTTTTTTTAAGACACAATCTTATCCTATAGTCCTGGATAGCCAAGGACCCACTATATAGGTCAGGATGTCCTAAAACTTATGGTGATCCACCTGCCTCTGTTTCCTGAAGGATAGAATCAGGTGTGAGGCACCACCCACCACACAATGTGCAACTAAAGTATATATAGTCCCAAACCTAAGAGTTACTTATAATACAGAAATAATTTACTTTATATCACTAAGGTAGCTTGAAGCACCTATGATAATCAAGGGGTTTTCTTGGTGATTAAAGATTTTTTCATGGTGATTAAAGACTTTATCTTAGTTACTCTTCTATCGATGTGAAAAGACACCACACCAGAGGCAACTTAGGACAAAGCATTTAATGGGGGGCTTGTTTTCGGTGTGAGAGGGCTAGTTCATGATCATAAAGATGGTAAGCATGGCAGCAGGCTGGAAGGCAAGATCTTATATCTTATTTGAAGTTGGAGGCAGAGGGAGACTGGATTTCATTGTGTGACCTCTTGAAACCTCAAAGTCCATCCCCACCCCCATGAGATACCTCCTCCATTAAGGCCACACCTCTTACTCCTTCCTAAATGTTCCACCAATTGGGACCCAAACACTCAAATATAAGAGCCTATGGGAACCATTCTCATCCGAACCAGCACACATGTTGAGCTCAAGTACTGGCACATGCATGCAGACTGGATGATGATGTGCTCACACCCACATTCTTGCTTAGCTTCATACTGATTTTTACCCTAAGATGTTTTTGTTTTCCTCATTCACTTTCATCCATACAGCTCAAGTTCGTAAGAGGAAAGTGGCTTCTGAAATTTTCATTAAGTGGTAAGATCTCTTTGCACCACATAATTAGAAAAGTCATCAGAAGTGAAGAAGACATATGTTTTTAATTCTAAACATGTACATCCCTGTGAAAGCTTTCATGAGGAGATATTTAAGGTTCATGTACAAACTGCCAGCCACTTCATGTGGTATAGCAGCACTGCAGTGTGCCAGGTGTGTGTAATCACTCTACACTCAAACCAGGGGCACTTTTTCTCACACAATGATTATGTCAGAGGTATCTCTTTAAATAAATAGTTTAATAACTTTTACCACGTTTATCACATCTCTAAGCATGTAACTTCCTCTGGGTTTCGGTTCTACCACACAACAAGCTTTTGGGGATACACAGGCAAAAACTATTCTGAACATCAAGATAAGCTATGCCTTTCACAAATACACACTTTTCCTTGGAAGTAATGACTCAAATAAAACCCAACACATTTGTCTATGCCTTTTTTGACACACCAAAAGTTGGGACAGCAGTTAAATTACCATCAAAGGAAAACAATTCCTGGATAAACATGGATAATTTGGGTTGGATTTCAAGTTAGGTCATCACCTTGCAATTCAAGAGCATTGTATAGAATATCCTGCCTATGAGAGTGCACACAGACTCTTTCTTGGCATGCTATTAGTGTGCTGCAGAGATAGAATGTCACATTTATATGGAAGGCAGATTGTGAGCTAACCTCCAAATAATCAAGCTCCATAAAGTTATACATTCTCCGAGGGAAAGAAAGTTGGACAGTTGAAGTTATACTTCATTTTCCATATTCATTCTTTTTTATGTTCAAAGAAGAAGATGGCTCAGGGGTCTCCATGTTTTCACAAGTGTGCCTGTTGGAATATCAGCTCTGCCCTCCTATTTTGGAAAGAATGTTGTTTACATCAGAGTCCCCCTCCATGACAGGATATTTGGTCTCAGAAAAAGAAATTCAGAAAATCTGTACACAGCAGGTCTTAAATGGTTTCATTTTAAATTATGAAAATTATAGTTTCAAATGTGAACTTTTAATTTTCCTCTGATGCCTTTAAAAGCTAATGTAGGATACTTGCTTCAAACATTTCCTCTTTAGTACTATAACTTGTTCCTTTTAAAGACAAGGGAATTGTTTTAAAATACAAGTGTCACCTTCTAGTCCCATACTTTCTCCAAAAAAAATCTTTAGTTTTTGCCTCATATTCCTAGTAGAAGTAGTAGTACTAGACAAAAGAAAAACTACTGATTATGACCTCATATTCTATTACTTCGTGTACAGTGGTTGCATTTACTGGTAATTCAAATTGTCCAGATTCTGTGGATTTGAATGGTTGGAAACACTGCAGTTTCTTCTAGCAATCATTGTGGATGGCTTCCAGGTAGTCAGTCTCCAAAATAGTCCATGACAGATGAGCATCTGCTAAGATGATGTCTAAATATGCAAACAAAATCCTAAGCCACTATAACTAGTCCTCTCAATGTTTCGTACATCATCATGCCTGAGAGGATGAAATTAAAGTATCAGTTATGCTGGGTACTCACATGCACACAAACAGATCAGATCTATTTCATATGACCTACTCATGTAGATTGTGTCTCATCATATTCAGTAACATGAAACTTATCGGGAGTATGATGTACTGCCCTTCTGATTGCTGATGCTGCAGATACCCCCACATCGAGGAGACATATATAGCTGCAGTGTGCTGACTGCCTAAGTTCGTTTAAAGTCAAACAGCCATGATCATTCCATTTCCCACCCATTTTTCATTTCTTGTAAACACTAGCTTAATAATAATACTAATATTGCCAATTTTCAATATCTTTACTATCTTTCAAATTTATTTATTTTTTAATGCTATGGATGTGAGTGTTTTTGCCTGAATATCTATCTGTATGAGTACCACATGCATGCAGGGCCCTTGGAGGCCAGAAGAGGGCATCAGACCCCCTGGAAATGGAATTAGACATAGTTTAGGAGCCACCATGTGGGTGCTGGCAACAAAATTCAGGTCCCCTGTTAGAGAAGCAAGTGTCATTTCTCCATACCCTCAATTGTATTTATTTATCTACTTTAACTTTTCCTTTATCCCTGTTCTGCCTACAATTCCACTTCTGGCCACCTACCTGGCTCATCTCATTTTTTTTGTTGATATTATAGCCCAGTTAAATTGAGGGGACAATAGTGGTAACAGCACTGAATCAGAGAGTCATGAACTTCATCTGATCTCTACATGTCTTCCAAGTCACATGATTAAAATAATCGTGAGTGTCTGTTTTCTCAGAAACAAATGAGCAAAAATTAGATGCCTCAAAAGACTGCCTCAAAGGCAGAGTAAAGTGAGATGAATGTGGAAATAACTATGAACTCCAGGATCCATATTTAGGATGGTAATCAAGTTTTTAAAATGCTTCTCTGGCCATCAAACAAGCAGTATTTCTGCATAAGAATTGAAGTAGATGCCACTGCAGAGACAAGCACAGCCCGGATGAGCATTGCTGGGATCCTCCTCTTCTGTGTGAACAATCAATCCTCTTTTTAAAAATAAAAGGGTTTTTAAATAAATATGTACAACACTCATTAAAGTTAATTGTTTGTGTATTAAGCTGCACAACGTCTGAAAATTTTATATACAGTACTTTGTACTTGTCTAGCCATGCCTGTTTTAAACCACTGTCATTAAAATACATTTGTTTCTCATATTGTACACAGTTTTGTCATTTTGTACACAGTTTAGCTGACCACCAGCTATAGGGATTATGGATTTCAGGTGTTGCACTTCCCATCGGTGGTGAGTGAGCTGAAACAGCACCCAGTGTTCTAATTCTGCACACCTGATGTCAATTCAGGTGCTTCCCTTATTGTTTTATTTTGGGGCTTTCTCGAATATGAAGAACATCAGACCACACGCATTGACGTAGAAGGTCCTGTTTTATAGGTGAGTTTGCCTTTCATTTAGGCATTAGTAGAAGTCAAGACTAATCTCGATTAATGCATTCACCTTTTTTTTTTTTTCTTTTGAAAAGTTACTGTATACTTCCTTGACACTGAAATCATACGAAACACTTTTTGCTGGCTTGCTTTCTTTGCACTTAACATACTGCATGCAGTAAAGAGAGTCTCCAGGGCTTTACCTTAAAGTTAGCTTAAAGCATGGCAAGATAAATCAGAGTGTATCCTCTTCATTTTGGTTTGTTTTCAACACCGAATCTTCTCCCAAAATTTGACATAGTTCATTGAGTCTCTGCTGCATTTTGGGAATTCCAGCTAGTTGAGACTCTAGCTTTTGTTTTTCTTCACTTAATGTTAAGCGGATGGCAGTGTCCAACTGTTCAAAGCGCCAACCTCCTTCGCCATCAAATTGTAATAAATGAGTGTGGTATTTCCTACAAAATTAAAACAAAACATTATTAACCATAATCTTGAAAAGCCATTTTAGTTATAGAATTTTCTAACTTGTGTTCAAAGACAAATTTTAGTAAAGGTGGATACACAAATGAATTTTAGTGTTAGATCAGAAATTCTTCTTGATGTTACAGAATTTATTTCATATTTGGAGTACATATAATTTACAAAGGAAGACTATTCTTGTACTAATTTACCCCCAAAACTGAATAAACAATAAAGCATTCTTGGAATGGTAGAAAATGAACAGACAGTACACAGAGATCACAAAAACAAAAGAAAGTAAGGGAAACACAAAAACAACTTATTTGTATGTAACACCATCCTCCGGGATGAATTCTACTTAAATAAGATTTTCTCAGTAATAATCATTTAGAATCATTTTTACATGTCTGTCCCAGGAATCTTTTAGAGACATTCTCTGTTACCACATAGATACACTCTTCTTTCATGGCTCAGATACATAGGAGTTACAGAGAGGTTCATAGATTTGTATTGAAAGATGGGAGGCAATCCATATCCTAAGAGAAGCTGACAGCACTACCAGAGGATTTGTGGGGTATGTGAAGTGAGTATGACTGGCAGAACTATTCCATGGCAAGCCACCTATACTTGGTCACGTAGCATAACTGGTTAATGATTCTTCAGTTTTTATGCCTTCCTTCAGTTTTTTTCATCTTATTATTATTTTATCAAGTAATTATTATTTATTATAACTAGTCAGTTATTCAAATTAGTTTCTGTCTTATGCATGGATGATAGATGTTAAGCTGTCAATAAACAGGTTGCAATCCTTATAAATCATAGAAGTTAGGAGCTGGCAATGGCAATGACCACATCTCCAAGACGGCACCATGCTGCTGGATGGCAGCATAGACCAAGACAGTGAGCACAGCTCTCAGTGCTGGCGGTAAAATAGCTGCCACCATCTTTGATAAACTGTGGCAGAAACAACTATGACTTTCATTTGTTGTTTTCCAGATAAAAGACTCGTGGCCAGAAAAAGATAAAGATTTACAGTAAAGACAGATTCACATTAAGAAAAAGCGCTAAGGTTTACAGTATGTTACCTATAATAGTAAAAACTTATAGTTAAGTTAGTTAGGTTTTCTAGATTCACAGAGATGTATTTGAGATGAATAGGCATTCTTCAAACCTTTCAAAGACCTACAGAATATGGCATTTAAAAAGGCTTAGGGTTTTTCTTGACAGTGAGACATAACTGCTCCTGGCAACACCACCTGCATCAGAAAGGAAGATGGACCTTGAAGAAAGGAGTTAAGAAGTTTGCTCCCAATATGGCAAGACTAGCCATTTGGACAAGATATTGCTCTTGTCTGGACTGTTTGACTTTATGCTGTATAAACTGGACATGCAGGACCCACAGAAAAGTGACTGCTGATTCAAGATGGACATTGCTACAGAGTTCCTACTTCATGGAAGAGTCTGCAGGACACAGAGAAAAGTGACTGACAAACTGCCAATACAAGAAGACAGTTTAAACTTTCCTGCTTTGCTGAAGAATCTGCCAGACACACTATGGCCTAAGGGCTGAAAATGGAAGATTACAGAAGAACTTCAGGTGACTGTCCAGGCAGTGAGTTGTCTCAGTCATTTCTAGAGTTTATATATTATCCTTCTGTGGTCTTTGATGGAGTTGAAGACAAATAGTTATGGTTATAGTTTTCCTTAGTTAGGGTTAAAGATAAGTTTCTTAGACTTTAGACATAGGAAGATAGGATAGATGACAGAATATTTTCTTCAAATCTTGCTAAATGTTAATGGACTAAATAAACATTGTTAACTGTGATTCTTATTTGATAACTGTTGTGTGATATATTTTGGTATGTTAAGGTTAAAACCCTTCTTTTTATTTTAGACAGAAAAGAGGAGATGATGGGAAATGTCATTTTGTAAATATGTTTCTCATACTGGTTAATGAATAAAGCACTGTTGGCTAATAGGAAAGCTAGATAGGCGGGAGTAGGAGACGAGGAGGAAAGAGGAAGGAAAAGGAGGAGTCAAGATAGCGAGTCTGGAGAAAGCAGAACCACCAGCTGCCTCTCCCTGGTAATACCACGTGGAAATACATAGAAATGGGTTAATAATTAAGACGAGCTAGCCAATAATTAACTAGTACCTGGCCAACAGCATTATATCAAATACAGAGTCTCTGTGCGTTAATTGAGGCTGGTGCAGCAGCGGGACAAGACCAGTGGCGGGAGGAAAACCATACTCATTACATACTAGTGGGGAGGGAAGGAACTCACAAGGAAGGGGACATAGAATAGATAACTATGGATGGATGGAAGGGCTGGAATGAGAGGATTAAATGGAGGGAGAAGGGAAGAGGAGGGTAAAGTGGGGAATATGGGAGGGACAGGTAAAACTAAGGGCCATTTGAGGGGTATGGAAAGCTATTACAATAGAAATTTCTTAAAATATATACATATATATGAAAGACATCTAAATGGAATCACCAAGTAATGGGAGAGACAAAGCTCCAACATCAGCATCTCTTGCTACCAAATGAAACCTCCAGTGCCAGGAATGGAATACATCTAATTGCATTGTTGGCCAAATGGGCCCCATGGAAACCCACAACAACTCAGGCCACATCAATCAGTTGCTTTCCATAGACTGATGGTAAGGTCCTATTATTGAAGACAGCACATAACTCATTAACTACAGAAAAGTCAAGCTGTTCTCTATCTGGATCCTTCACCATTGCTGACTAGTGTTCATGGTACTGGAAGGTACTCTGCACACTTTCAGAAAACAAAAGTAATACCATCCCAGCTATGAGCCCTGTGATTTACAATGCTGACCTGCCTGCATGTTATGCAGGGACGACAGTGGCACAAAAGTTGAGGGAGTGACCAACCACTATTTGATTGGATTTAAGGTACACTCCATTACATGGAACCCATTCCCAACACTGCTTGGATGGCCAAGAGCTTAAGACTAGATAGACCATAACCTAGGGGAAACCAAATACTACTATTCTACTAAAGGAATTAACAATAAAATCACCCCTAATGACATTCTGCTATATTCATAGATCAATATCTTAGCATCATCAAGCTTCCTCCTACAGTAGCTTGAAACAAATAGAGACTCATTACTGGACAATGTGTGGAGAGTAAGAGACCTTGGAACACACAATCCTGCACCAATGTCTCCCTCCCTCCCCCAGGGTTCAGGAAATGCTGTAGAAAAGGAGACTGAAAGATTTTAAAAGCCAGAGAGGAGAGAGAACACTGAGGAAACAAGGCCTTCTAGATACAATGGGACTGACGCACTCAGAGACTGCTGAGGAGGCCTAAGCCAGATGGGGCTCCAATGTTGAAAGAGAATAGCTCCAATAGCCCAGAAGCTATTTCTAATCAACAACCACCTGCAAAGAAAAACTACTTTTCCCCAAGGGAGTCTCACTGGGGATACAAACCACACTTTAAAACAGGCCCCATGTCCAGCAGTAGATGGCAAACACAGACCACACTCAAGGATTTTTGTCTAATAATGCTTTGTGTGGTGTGTAGTATTTTTAAAAAACCTTACATGTCTTTTATTTATATATTATTGTTTCTCATTTTGTAATTTTATGGGATTTGTGCATGAACAATTGTGTGTGTCTTACATCTGTATGTCTTTCTTATGCTTTTGCTTTTTGTTGATGTTGTTGTTGTTGCTCTTGTCTGTTTTCTGATGAAAGAGAGAAAGGGTGTGGATTGGGTGGGTATGGAAGAGGGGAGAATGTGGGAGAAGTTGGGAGAGGGGGAACTGTGATCAGAATATAGTGTATGAAAAAATATTTATTTTTAATAATAATAAAATTGAGTTCAAAATACTGACATTTCAACATATAAGACCATTTAAAAATTAAATTGAAAACAATGTACTTATATTTCAATAAGAAAATGCAAAAATTAAAAAAAACATAATCCTATCATCAAAATAGGAAGTCTAGGGACAGTGAAATACTGAGATGGCTCAATGGGTTAAAGGTCCTTGCTGAAAGGGTCATCCCCTTAAGTAGATAAGGCTACAAAAACAGTTTATTGTTTCTGACTTCTTTGATTCTTCAACACTGTTATGAGGGCTAAGGGAGATTTAACACGTGTTCCGACCTGACTCATTTTTTTTTCTTAAAATCAACAACAACAGCAACAACAAAAAATGATTTTTATATACTGTGATTCCTCTAGCGGTAATTTTGGAAATAGTAACTTATAACATTTTTCCTGGATTTTAAAGGAAACATTGAAATTATCTTTCACAGTACACTCTAGCACTATAAATACTTTTAGTTCAGATCAACCATCATATTCTTTTGTAACTTTTCAAAATGACTAGAAGGATATTCATTTCCACATAACACATTAAAGTTACATTAGACCAGGGGAGCTAAAGTATAAGGGGGAAACATCAGAGAAATACAGATAGAAAATAAATGAAATACCTTATACTCTACAGAGAAAAAAATTACCAAAGTTATCCCTTAAGATAAACAGCATCCATCCCAGAAGAGGATCCCAGAAGTACCTACCACAGAGAAGGTCTGTGTGTTATGGACAGCAAGGAAATCCCAGCCCCTAGAGCAGCCTGAAATATTTTTCCTTCAACATCAATGCTCACAGCACTGGTACATTCATCCAGCAACGCATACTTGGGTCTGAAAAAAAAATACAAATAGATTAGTGAATTTTTTTTCTGGAACTGTGTCTTTTTTTTGGACAGCAGTTATATCCTGACAACTTCAGAAGGTCTAGGGAGAATGTGACACTGGTCACAGTGTAAGTGATAAAGGAAAAGGCAGCTCTTTATTTTATCTATCTATCTATCTATCTATCTATCTATCTATCTATCTATCTATCTATCTATCCATTGATCGATCGATTTTATTTTGTTTTTCTACTTGGCCAGCAAACCAACAGAGCTTAGTTAATGGGACTAATGTCAACAAGTACACTTTCATTTGATGTTTTTATTCTAGTTTTGAAAATTAGTTTCAAAGTTTTCCAGGACAGTTTACACCATGAAATTATTATTTATTTATTTTTTTATGTTTAATTTTTAATTATTTTGATACTATAATTACATAATTTCACCTTCTCTCATTTTCCTCTCATGCCCTCCCATGTATCCTGTCCTGTTCTCTTTCAAATTCATGGCCTCTAACATTAAATCAGTAAAAATTTCTCATTTCACATAAATAATAACTCAGCATTGTAAGTTATAATCTAACATGTATTTGCTCATTAATAGGATTCTGTTGCCTATTCTGGAAATGGTGGTGAAGGCTAATAGATACAGGTGTTAAAGATGTTCCTAGTGCCCCATAGGACTGGAAACTGTTTAATGATCACTGCACCTTCCCCAAGACGACAGTGGAGTAGCTTATTATATATCAAATATTACTTCTCTCTGTTTAATTACTATTTGTGATTTTATTTAAATAGAAGGGTGAAGAAAAGTATACAAGAGAAAATTTAGGTAAAAATTTCTTTTTTGTATGAAGTTCTTTTTAGCTTTCTGTTGATTGTACTTTGTCTTGATTTTTAGAGTGCTTTGAACTGAAGAAGATATGCTATTTTGAAATAGAAAAAAAGTATATTTTATATTCTGTTGTTATAGTAACTCCTAGTCTAAGGAATGTAAGATGAATCACATACTTGTTTTTTTAGCAGGGTTTGGCTGTGTGTGTGTGTGTGTGTGTGTGTGTGTGTGTGTGTGTGTGTGTTTAAATATACCAAACAACATAGCTGGAATTGGACAGTTACAGAACTAATACTCACAATATTAAATGATGTCATCTCTTAGATTTGTGTTCCTTTTTTGACCCCTTGCTTTATTCCTAACATCATAGGATATGTGAAGGAGCAAACTATCTCCCAAACCGGATTTTTCTGGTCATTCTTTAAATATTAAATATTAAAGTTATAAGACTCTTATAAAGCATATTCTATAGTAATACTTAGTATAATTTCTGGCCAGAGTTCTCTTTTGTCATCAGTTCAGTCTTCCTATCAAAGCTCAGCATATGTTGTAACCTTATTGTCATAACCTTATTGTTGACCCCATGAAGATGGGAAGAAGCAGTTCCTCAACATTACTCTTTTTTTTTTTTTTTACATGTGTCCTCTGGAGCATGTGTTCTCCCCCCCCTGCCCCTTTTTAAATTTAAATTTGAAACAAGCTTGTTTTACATGTCAATCCCAGTTCCCTCAATCTCCCTTCCTCCCCTATCACTCCCACCAACCCCCATCCAATGCCCTTTCTGCTCCCCAGGGAGGGCAAGGCCTTCCAAGGGGAGTCTTCAAAGTCTGTCATATCATTTGGGGCAGGGCCCAGGCCCTCCCCAATGTGTTTAGGCTGAGAAAGTATCCCTCTATGTGGAATGGGCTCCCAAAGTCCATTTGTATACTAGGGATAAATACTGATCCATTACTAGAGGCCCCATAGACTACCCAGTCCTCAAAACTAACACCCATGTTCAGGGGGTCTGGGTTGGTCCTATGCTGGTTTCCCAGCTATCAGACTGGGGTGCATGAGCTCCCCCTTGTTAGGTCAGCTGATTCTGTGGGTTTCTCCAGCCTGGTCTTGACCTCTTTGCTCATCACTCCTCATTCTCTGTAACTGGGTTCCAGGAGTTTGGCTCAGTGTTTAGCTGTGAGTTCAACATTACTTTTGTTCCTTTGCTGTGTTAAATTGTCTCATTTATCTGATTCTTCTGCAAACGTGCTGCCTTCAAATCTTGTGCTTTTCTTCCTCTAGCTCACTGAATTGACTTGATTTTTACTCATTATTATGTTAGACCTACACCATTTCACAACCACAAATACCAATCATTCCAAATTACAGGTACTCAAAATATCAGGCTATCTTATTAACACAGAGAAATGGAAAACTGGTCACATTTGCAGTCTACCACATCACCCTTCACAGGCTGTGATGACGAGCATATCCCTGAGTGTTTATGAACAAAATCCATGGCAATTCACAGAGATGGGCTATGAATGTCAGGCTGCTGTTTGCTCTTGGATCTCACTGGAGAGTGCAACATTTCAAAGCCCATCACGAAAAGCCCAGAGTTGGTAAAATTTGGCTCCTTTTTTTTTTTTTTAAAGTACTCTCTATACATAAATACACACATAATATATGATTTCATTTATGTGAGGTTGTAAAGCAGATAAACCAGAACAGATATGGGCAAATGTAGAATACGACCAAAAAGGGGATTAAAAGCCATTTTCAAGGTAATAATAGCATTCTCTATCTTGGTTGAGCTGTTGGTTACATAATGTACCTACAAATTTTAAAAAATTATTGAATTATATACTTATAACACATACTTAGTGTATACACTTTACAATACTGATAATGAAAATAAAGCTATGTATTATATAATAATTAAGAGAGGCATATCATAGCATATGAAACTAAGGAAGGGCTATAAATTATAAACTATGAAACAGACGAAGACAATTAAGATTATCACCAACTTGTGTGTACTAAGAGCAGGAAGAAATTTATTCAAAATTTTAACAATGCTCTTGACAGCTAATGAGCTAGGAAGTTTCTAATTCTTTTTATTTATCTGTGTTTTTCTAAGTAAATATATAATTATGACATTCTCCTAGTGGTACATAATATGTGCTATCATCTTATAAAGTAAAACATTTAGAGTCTAATGCAATAAAAAGTAAGCAAATCTAGAAGTATAAATTTTACATACCTTTAATAAGATACATTTTTAAAATATGTCTTTCAGTTCCTCTGTCTCCTCCTACTTTTGTTTTATTACATGTATTTTCTTGTATGAGTTTGAGTGTGCACATCATAGTACATGTGGAAGATAGAGGACAAGGTGCACTAATTGTTGGGCCTCTCGTTCCACCATGAGTCCAGGGCAGTGGTTCTCAAGCTGTTGGTCATGGCCCCTTTGGGGCATATCAAATTTCCTTCATATCAGATATTTATGTTATGATTCATAATAGCAGCAAAATTACAGTTATGAAGTAGCAATGAAACAATATTATGATTTGAGGTCATCACACCATGAAGAGCTGTATTAAAGGGTCACAGCATTAGGAAGGTTAAGAACCACTAGTCTAGGGGATGCAACTCAGGTTGTCATTTGTAGAAGGCACCTTTAACCACTGAGCCATCTCTCCAGTCTCCCAGTTAGGTATGATTTAACCTAAGATGGGACTACTGAATCCTAGTGACTACTTTGTTATGTTGGTAATGGATCAGAGTTTTCTGAACACAGCACACTTACTTATGATAAAACATCCGTGCCATACCCATTCTCTGCTTTTCTCCTCCTGATAGGACATCTTTCCAGTCCATAACAGCATCCCATCCTAAAACATAAACAAACAAACAAACAAATACATACAGTTTATGGATATTTTGTTGATTTGCTGCTACTTCTATTCTAGTGATTCCTGGCCTGTTTTAATTGAAAATAAGAAGAGCTTTGTATTTCATAGAGCATGTGGATGGATTCCAGAGCCATATGCATGAGTATTTAATTTTAAATATAATATTCTTTAATGAGTAATCATTCCTTACATCGACAGACATCTTGGAAGAGTTGTAAACACTGGTACTCAGTAAAATCCATTTGTTACTCAGTCTGGGCATATGTTGGTTTTTAAGGGTAATGGGAGAAAATTACATAGGACAATTGCTGAGCCCTAAAACAGCGTGGGAGGAGCTAAGTTAAACAGTTCCCACATACCTGACATTTTATGCAAGTCTTTTCACTTTTCTACAGCTTTGTGTTTTGTAAGTGTGTAATGCAAAATTCATGGAGCAATGGACACATCTAAGTTTATAGTTACCTATTAAAGCTAAAGTCTATATTTAGGTTTATTTAATGTTTCACAGTGTATGCAGCCTGTTAAAAAATTTTAATTACTGATAGCTTGACAATAATTTACAAAGCAATCTTCTATTTTTAAGATTAAGGGATATATAGGAAAACTATTTTTTATGTTTTATGAAAATAATACCATAAAATTTTAAATGAAACCTAAATTTCAGAGTGTCATATATTATGGCCATACTTTGGAAAATTTGCATACATATACCAGAGAATGGAATTATAAGAGTCTTTTTTTTTCTTCGAGACAGGGTTTCTCTGTATTGCTTTCGGAGCCTGTCCTGAAACTAGGTCTGTAGACCAGGCTAGCCTCGAACTCACAGAGATCCACCTGCCTCTAACTCTTGAGTGCTGGGATTGAAGGTGTGTGCCACCAACTCCTGGCAAGAGTCTTATTTTGCAAGTTAACAATTTGTAATATTTGAATTTTTTATGGCTATCTTACATAAATAACTGGAAAAGATTACATAAGAACAAAGCCAAATTCTACTTCCAATTCAGAGAAGAAAAAGACTGCCCAAACTTGACAAATTCTCAAGGCAGCATTTCCCCATTGTCAGTGTTCAGGATTTAATTATCCCCTTGGAGAAGGGCTACACTCCATGTACTCATCACCCTCCCTCAGCTGTCTTTCATCTTTATTAAAATTTCTAAATAAACTTGAACATAGGCCATAAGGAAGAATTAGAATCCTCATTGTTCTAACTCTGAGTGCCTGAAGAAACAAATTACCAGATCAATTATTTAATTCTTTTGCTAATTAAAAGGAAGAATATGGATTCATTTTTAGCATGCAAAAGGTCAGAATCTTTGACAGAATAATATATGTTATTGTTAAATCAGAATTTATCTTTTTCAAATGTTTTCTTCTTTTAGGAATTATTATTATAAAGTTTACTAAAAGTTTTAGAAAGTGTAAAATTAAACCACACACAGTGAAACTTGCCTGTAATCCCAGGATATGATCAAGGACAAGAGGGTCAGAGCTGGGGGCCAGCCTGCACTATACTCTGATACTCTATTTCAGAAAAAAAAGCCCTAAGTTGTAAATAATAAACTAAACCATGTGGGAAGATAATAATTAGAGAGAACAAGGATAGAAAGACTATTTTAAAGATATATTATAAATTATTTTAAAAATTTGAACAACATGAAAGTGTTTGCAATTACAAAACTTGGAAATAAAATAATGCAGGGTGGGGAGCAATCTAGGAGGACTGGGAGGTGGAGAATGAGAGAGGAAAATGTAAAACTGGGACCAGAGAGATGATCTGTGGTTAAAACATGCACTGCTCTTTTTGAGTGCCAGCACCCATGTCAAATGGCTCACAACCACCTGAAACCTCAGCTCCAAGGGACCCAACATTCCCTTCTGGCTCCCCAGGCACCTGTACCATTACCTCACAATGTACATACACAAAAGTAGAAAGGACTCTTTGAAAAATAATCAATATAGTAGCATCTACAGTGAAGGACTTTAGCATTATTTCCCATTGACAACATCAAGTCAGTATCTTCAGAGGGATCGCTGTTCATTTCCTTGAGTAAACTTTCTGTTGAAATAATAATTTTATCTGACCAAACTTTACAGCATGTATGAAACGCTAGTGATGACTTGAGGAAGAGATTTAGCACTATGAAGGAATGCTCTGGTAAGAATGACTTGTTCCCTGAACTGAGAAACAAAGCATGAGAGAAAAGGTTTCAAAGGAAAAGGTAATTTTTACATATTTTATTAAATTGCACCCTTTGCTCTACTGAACCCAGTGGGCTCCATCAGCATCTTAGGCAGCAACAGCCATAATGCCTGATGCTCATTCACAGAGGCTAAGAGAGCTAAGAAGAAAATCATTTCCCTGCTTCCTGAAGATGTATAAACTTTTCATTTGTTTCTGTTTGTTCCCCTTCTCCTCTTTTCTCTCTTGTAACCTGTTTATGGGAATGAAATGTAGGTCTTGCCTCCATTCTTTGCTTAGCAAAGAATTAGCTAATCTAAATAATTCCAATGGAAAGTTATACACAAGTAAGTTGAAGTATTTTCCTGTATTGCATAGCAGTTCTCAAACTGTGGATCATGACCCATGGGGATGGAGGGGCTGTCTATTAGATAACCTGCATATCAGATTACATTTCATAACAGTAGCAAAATTACAAGTTGTGAAGTAGCAACAGAAATCATTTTATGGTTGGTCTAGGCTGAAAGAGTATCCCTCTATGTGGAATGGGCTCCCTCAGATGAATACTGATCCATTACCAGAGGCCCTATAGACTGCCTAGGTCTCCTAACTGACACCCACGTTCAGGGGATCTGGGTCAGTCCTATGCTGGCTTCCCAGCTATCAGTCTGGGGTCCATGAGCTCCCCCCCATTCAGGTCAGCTGTTTCTGTGGGTTTCCACATGGGGGAGGGCCTAGGCCCTGTTCCAAATGATGTGACAGACTTTGGTGATCCCCCATGGAAGGCCTCATGCTCCCTGGGGAGCAGAAAGGGGATGAGATTGGGGGGGGTCTGTAGAAGGCATGGGAGAATGGGAGGGAGAGTTAACTGGGATTGATATGTAAAACAAGATTTATTCTAATTTAAATTTAAAAATTAAGAGAGAAAAAATAATTTTATAGTTGGGGGTCACCACACATGTGGAACTGTATTAGAGGGTCACAGCATTAAGAAGGTTGGCAACCACTGTCCTTAGATGCACTGTGTTTAAAGATTAAGTAAAACTAGTTTCTTAGGAAAGATATATTTGGTTGAAATTACATAATAGTTCTTATGTCTAAAAAGCTAAGAGACAACAGAACAGGTCATGCCTAGTGTTGAACACTGTCTTCTCAAGTTAATTCTGCATTTGAATTCTGTTCTTCCAGCTGCTATGTGAATTAATGCAAAGTAACTGCCCTGAATTTAATCTGTACAATGGAGATAGCCATGCATCAATGAACTTCCTTGAACATTGAGTGGAACAATATGTACTTGTTTGAACATGGCATTTTCTGTGCAGTATACAATACACCATAAATGTTCCTATTATATCATTAAGGTCCAGAGACTCTTAACAATAAAAAGAAAAAATAAATTTTGTTGTTTGTTCAAAGCAAAGGGATATAAAACTCTAGGCTGGGAATTTAAAAATAGTTCTAGAACTTCCTGACTTCTGGAAAATACTAGAATATTTCATGTTTATTTTAAATTTCTATTTTAATCATGGGATTCAAAACTTAATTAGTTTGCCCATAATATGGAGAATTTATACTGTCAAAGTATTTTGAAACTGGGAAGGGATTGACCACCTGACACTAAAGGAAAAATCTTTCCTCAGATAGCAGTCATCATACATAGAAATACAGTCATATCTGTCTTGCCTGATTCATTTACTTATTAGAGGGATTAGGTCACTAGTCATGTTTACTTGTTATGCATGTGCCACCACAATAATATTACTCATATAGTTTCATTTAGTATTCACAGACACCTTGAAAAAAAATGTATCACCATTTTACCATTGAAGACACAGAAACCAATGCTAACTAGGATTTAATTCTTTATTCTGAGTCCAAAGCCCATATTCTCAAGGACGGTAATATAGTGCTTCTGCTTCTTTTTTCAAAATAATGTAATTAGGTCAGGAGAAAAGAGCATGAAATCCATGCATACACAATTCAGCACAGAATTCTGGCTTGCTTTTTTAAATATTTCTTTTTTGGGGGGGCAATTAAATCATATGACTTATCAAAATAGTTGAAAGCATAACTTTTAGGAAATAGTTGAATTGATAGCTCATATGTATACATATTCCCACTCTTTCAAATATGTCTTATTCTAAAGAAACCTACTGTGAAGAAGTTTTACATGCTATTTAATCTCTTATTTCTTGCATATGTGTGTGTGTGTGTGTGTGTGTGTGTGTGTGTGAAAGATTGTAGAACTGAAAACAGACAAGTTGTGTAAAATCCACTTTTCAAAATTATTATATTTATTATAAGCTGAGAGATCTCAGCAATCAAATAGTTCACTGTGTACTTTACATACATCTAGAATGACTGACCTAAGGAATTCTTATATATACATTTAAATACCAAGGTCTTTGAACACTAAATGTGGTGTTATGGTGACTGGTAAAAGTGTACTGTGTCATATTAATTACAAGACAGGCAAAACCAGGATATCTATAATAAAAAAAGAACTCTCTACTTACATTTTTATGCTCTGATAACATCATATATTCAAAAGTCACAGACTTCATACACGCCTGGGACAAACATCGCTAATGTCACCTTGACTAACATTGGAGTCACCCATTTTGTAGCATGCCTCTGTGTCTCAGTGAGAGAGATTCCAGAGAGAATTGACTGATAGAGAAGACTAGGTATGCAACTCAGGAAGGGCAATGGGGGAGGAGAGGAAAGCCAGAGGCTTTCCCAGGTGAGGGCTGTGCTAAAACACATCCTCTGAACCGCTACCAAGTGACACCCTGGAAACTTTCAGCACAAGAGGACACCCATCCCATAGGCTGTTTCTGTTGGGTATTTAGAAATTAGTACAAAACCTAAGTTTATTTATTTAGTTGATTATTTTGAGATAAAGTTTTGATGTAACCCAGACTTGTTCCAAACTTGCTGCCCAGGGGAGGGTGAATGAGTTCTTGGTCCTTCTGTCTCCATGCCCTAAGCATTGAGATTACTGGTGCACACCATCACACACAACCCAAACTTGCTATGTAAATAAAGTTAAACCACACTTCAAAAAAATAACATTTTCTACCTCCTTCTCTTTGCACTATGTGGTAGAGGTGGACACTGTGCAGAATGCCTTCTAGGTCTTGGTCAGTATACCCTTTTTCATGCATGTCATCCACTGAATCGGGATAGATGACTTGATCACGTAGACTTCCAAGAGACATGTATGGCCTATAAAATACCAAGCACATGTGAGTCCTGATGCAAAGTATGTTAGCTGTCCCACAGTGACATCCTGCTGGCTGGAACACTGCAGACTTTAAACCCTCAGTTTATAGGGTTACATTGTGTTTCTTGGAGAGACTTCAAAGTAATATCTGGTTTATAAAAAAACACTGAGATATACATACAGAAAAGCTCTTTATAAGAAACCATTTGATATTTTCTGCAACAAAAACTATACTTCATTTCACTATTATGCTGACTATTCTTGTTTGTCCACTTGATTAAATCTGGAGCTCACTAAAACCCAAGTGTCTGGGTACAACAGTGAGGATTTTTTTTTCTTATTTAAGTAATTTGAAGTGGGAAGACTCACTTTCAATCCCAATCTTTTGATCCCACCTTTAACCTGGGCCACACCTTCTGGTGACAGCCTTAATATAGGGCACAGAAGCATTCTCTCTTTGCCTGCTTGCTGTCACTTTCTCTGGAAAGTTCCTACTTCTTTGGGATTCTGGCATATACTGAAGAGCAGCTGAGTCCAAGCTTGTAGACTGAACATCTACTGAATTATTGGACTTTCTGGAAAATTCTGATTAATACAGCCATATTTGATAAAGATTGTTCCTGTACATCTAAAATTATTCACTTTAACACAAAACTTGGAGTGTTGACAGCAGTGTAAACAACCAACTGAAAGTCACAATATTATTGATAATAAAATATAATTAATATGACATTGGTTTTCTTGTTTATTAGACTAACAACAACAACAACAAAAAATCCAACAGCTTGATAATTCAGTCAGCTGACTGGTCCATGGGAAAAACAGATGTTTCCCTATAATGGTGAAAATCCAGCCTCCTTGGAGGAAATCTGGCAAATTGACATGTCATTTGCCATTTGACCTACTTCCGGGAATTTTCTTGGAGGATATACTCCTAAAAATGCCAAAAAGGAAAACTTGACTAAGCTTACCCATTACAGTGTCATCTGCATTTTCATAATAGTCAAAGCCAAGTTAAAGGAGCAGGCAGAGAGAATCCTTAAATCAACAATGTGTACCTACAAAGAGAACCTCTATCTGTACCTACTACGAGGCACTACAGAGGCCAGGCAGATACACAGGAAGTAACACAGAGTGAATTCTGTTGTCATCATTCAGCTATGAAGGAAAGTGTGAAAGCAGACATGCTGACTGATGCCAAATCAGGATGTCACAGCAGCTCTGTCATGCTGACTGATAGATGACTTGTCTTTGCCAATGGCATCCTGCTGAGGAAAGGTTAGCGACATACCTGGTCTATATCCACTAGATGTCAGCAGCATCTCCTCAAACAGAATTTTAAAAATTGTCTACAAGTTTCCACAATGGGACAAATACCCCTTGGTCATAAAGCTGTCCCCAGATGAGAAACACTGGTAGACAGTATGTCATCTTCTATGAAAAGAAGATGATACAAATACACACATTTTGTTACACCTACAGAGGGAAACAGGAAAAAGCAAGCCAGAAACTTGTGTGAAAAAGTCACCCAAGGAGGTGAAATGAAAAGAGAAAACATACCCTCTCTAAATATATTCTCTCTCTGTCTCTCTCCGTCTCTGTCTCTCTCTCTGAAACAGGGTCTTACTATGCATCTCTGACTGTCCTAGAAGACTGTTTCTGTAAAGCAGGCTGGCCTTAACTCACAGAGTTCTACTTGCCTCTACCTCCCACTGCTGGGGTTAAAGGCAGGCACCACATCTTTTCTATGCAAATTTTGATTTTCTACCTTAGAGTAAAGCAGAGATGTAAATGCAAAGAGCGGTCCCATCACACGGCACAGTCCAGACTGCAATGATGAAAAACAAAAAAAGCAAAAGCAAAAACAAAAACATCTATGTATCCAGTCCATGAGTGCCTCTTAAGGCCTTGCCATACACCCTGACAAAGAGCTAGTATTTGATGAAGTCATCATTTCCATCCATGATTCAGTATACAACACTTTATGCTATACAGTGTGAGTAATGGCTGTGATAATAGACTTCAGAGAGGTGGTTCTGGGAGAGACTTCTAATCTCACCATTGTAGTACTGTCATTGGTCTGATTTGTCTGTGAAGTCGCTTATTTTATTCAATTTTTCACGATTGCAGAATAAAGCAGTTAAATAAAGTAATGTAGTAAGATTGTTTACTGTAACATAGGCACAAGGGAAGGCATTCAAGTGATCACCATTTAAATAAGAAGTTCATTTCTCTTGCGGTCCCTAAGTGAAAACAAAACAGAAAGGAGCAGCAGAGTTGTAGCTCACTGATTGAGCAATTGCCTGTCATGCAGTGCTAGTTGTTCCCCAGCCATGAAAAAAAAAATCTCGTAAAACCGACAAGTAAATACAAAATAATTCCCCTTTGTTGGATAATTGTCTACTGGGTTTTATCCCATAGTAAGTTTTATTATACTTAAATATGATTGATGAATAATAGGTTTCTGTGTAGACATTAAAGATAGATCCTAAGAAGTACTTCAAGTTTATGTAGAAGCTTTTCTTTAGTAACATATAGTTCACTGGTGCAGTTTACAGAGCTTCTGAGGACTCACAACACCGAGGGTAGTCAGATGCCTTCATTGTTAGGAAATAGGGCAAACCTGTAACTTCATCAGAAGACTTAAGATTTTTATAGACTCTTCAAACTCAGCTAATTTCCTCTGGTTCACTGAGAGATTTATCTTAAAAGGGTTCTTTACTGATGGAGCAAAATAACTATAGCTTTGTAATGCTTCATTTCCTACTCAGTTTTCAAGATACTAATAGAGATAATCTGAAATATGTAGGCCTGGAGTAAAATTTGATCCTCCTGGGAAAGAATTTTAGCAACAAATTGTAATTGTTTTTCTGTGAAATGTTACCTCTGCACTTATTTTTAAAACGATTAACTGTCATAGTAAAAGTATCTGAGGTCAAATCCATCCCCAATAATTATATTTTTATAGTTATTAATTATGAAAAGCATCTTAAATATTTTACATTTTGCTTTAGACTCTCATTTTCCTGTGTTAACATAGAGCTATTGGATATTTCTTTTTTATATAATTTATGTTTGTCAGATTTTTCTGGTTTTTGATTATTCTATATTTGAGACAAAGGAGGAAAGAAGAGAACATGGAAAATTATAATCTCTATCTTTGTGCTCAGAGTAAAAAACGTTTTAAACTATATAGTTTAACTGGACAATACTGATAAAAATTCAACATATTAAACTCTAAGGCATGGAGTCTAAAGTTGAAGAGTAATGTGCCATTTCTCTAGCTGTGTGACCAAACAGTAAGAAGGTGGAGCAAACCATGAATACTCACTGTCAATCACTGAGAAATGCACAGGTTGAACCAATCATGCTATCATGCTTTTTCATGCACAGCAAGCTCAAGATTTGAGTTCTGAATGCATAATATCATTCCTAACATTTTTATATTTTTTTAAAGCAAACTAAGCAGTACTCAAAAGAGATATTTACTTTTATGAAAATTACATCATCCAACTTTTTACATCTAGTCATCTAGTATTCATAAAGCAAGGAATTAGCCCCAAGAATGCTACTGAGCCTTTGTCACTGATTCAGCAATTTCCTTTATAAAAAGAAAATGTTAATTACGGACATTTATCCTCCACAAAGAGGATTAGGCAACAAACCCAGTGCAAGTAACAAAGCAGACAGATGGTCCATAGTGTAAGATGCTGGGCGGATTTGCCAATAGAAAGGAAATCTGTCAGTCATTCTGTACTGGGGTAAAGCTCAGTGGGAGGGTATACTCTGCATGCATGGGGCCATGCATTCAACACAAGCACGCCCCCACCTAAGTAGAATCTTTTCTATGTTTCCTCTTCTTTCCTTCCTTCTTTCCTTCCTCCCTTCCTTCCTTCATTTCTTTCTTTCTTTCTTTTTTCTTTTCATTTTTGAGATGGTTTCCCTGTATAGCCCTGGCTGGCATAGAACTCACTCTGTAGACCTAGCTGGCCTTGAACTCAGAGATCCATCGTCTCTGCCTCTTGAGTGCTGGGACTAAAGGCGGGCACCACCACCACCAGGTTTAATACAATCCTTATGAGTGCAATCTTTCTCTCATTTCCCCAGTGTTTTATTCCTCAGAGTCAGAGTCAAAGATGCACATAATTTGTATATATTTATGGGACTTTTGATAGATGACTGTAGGAGGTCTAACTCTGTCTCTGAATGTTTGATGCAGTATATGTCAAATAGTTTTGAGTGGTAAGTCTTCATTAGCACTTCCCTCCTGAGATATTTCTTTCAAAGAAGAATAGAGAGATGGGAATATTTGAAATATAATTCCATGCTGGGTTGTGCCCAACTATAGACAATTGCTGAGAAGCGAGTGTGACATACACAAACCATCCTCTGGGGGTTAACTAAAACAGAATAAAGGGATGCAAAGTGGCCATCCTGTCATTCTTCCTTCCTTCCTTTTCTATAGGTTCTCCCAAATCCCATATTTCAATGTCTCATTTCAATGACTGATAGGGCATTGATAGTATTGATCAGCAAGAAATATAAATGGAATACATGCAAATCTGGCTTTGGGGACTGTGACTTCTGTAGACAAAAACTCTCCAAGGGGTAAGTATGTGAGTAATAGGCCAACTATTAGTGAAGAAATGAAAGCAAGAACAAAGGGTCAAATGCCCGTCTTGAGGCTTGGGAAGAAGAGAAAGAACACCAAGAATTGGCAAAATAATTCAGAAGATACATCCAAGTGGAAGATGCTTCCTGAGAGTCATGAAAGCTGGTCTATCATGGAGTGATGAGCATCTGCCATTTGATTACGGTACATAGTCGTATAGTACAGGACATTTGATATCAGTTTGGAAAGTGCCAGAATAGGTCTCCAGGTACTACTTCAGTAAAACCCTCACATCTCACAATTTATCATCCCATAAAAGGAAAGAGGTTAAGGCACTTTTCGGACAAAGCATGCTGTCCTAAAACTTACAGATGCACCACTTATTATATTCTGTCATTGATGAAGACAGGGTGAGGGAAAATGGTTTGGACTCAGTTTATACAGAACAGCTCTGTCTTCTTGTACCAATGCCCAGTTCTCCAAAGATCTGGCTCTTATTATTAACATTGCTAAAGCATTAGAAGACACCAACTGGGAGGATGCTGGGGCGATTTCACAATTTCTCAGGAATTCATGTTTCCCAACTTATAAAGTGAGCCAGAGTAGCATTTTTGTTTGGGTCTCTGTGTGTGAAGGCTTGGTCAAAAGCCAAGTTTGTGCTCTTCCCCAAGTAGTTCCCTTTTTCTCACTACACGATGTAAGAAACTCACTGTCACAAAACCTACTCCATTTTCACCAACAAAAGCAGCAATGTATTTTACATTTGATCACTGCATACAGAGATCCATTCTCTAAGAAGAAATACTTTGATCACAGTAATTAACTGTAAAATCTGCTTAATGACTTACAGAGTCCATACTTAGGCATGAAGTCTTTGTTGGTTTTTCTCCCAAACTAGTAGTTAGCTTACATTCCATTGCTAGCAAGGACTGAAAAAAATTAATCATAGCAGTCATGTATGTGATGATTTAAGTTCAGTTACTCACACATATTTTAAAAAAGGTCATACTGTTATTTTCTTTTACATAATAAAATCTCCTGTGATCATTCCAAAACTTAGTTGATAAAAAAATCACTGGCTTTTAGAATACAAGAAATAAATGCTACAATCATACTTCCTTAGTTTACATTTGTGTCTTAAGTGAATAGTAAGCAAAAGTGGAAGGAACATGGCTGTACAAAAGTCTTAAGTGTAAATATGATTCCCCATGCCTCTAGATGCAAGTAACTAATGTTAACTGACTTAAAACAATACTCATTTATGAATTAAAATATAGACGACTCTTGCTTATTTTTCTCTTTAACTAGGTTGGAGTTTGCTCAGGCAAAAATATATTTCATAACAAAAATTTCCTAATGACTACTTCTGTTTATTGTAAAACATTGTGGTTAGTTCACTCTGAGGGTAAAGGTTAATTTATTCACTTTCATAAACTCATTCATTACTAGAAAACTCTTTTCACTTTATCAAATGTGTATTCAAAAAGCATTTTATTAATATAATATAATACATGAAATATCTAACGGGTAAAACATAAACTTTATTTGTGCGCTTTCATTTTCATCAAGAATTTGTTTCTTGGTTGACCATTTTTCTCATGTTTTTGTACCTTATGTTTTAAGTACAACATTTAAATAATGCTACTTACTACATTCATTTATAAAACTTAAAGTGAGGCAGTAAAGCGGAGGCTACCCAAAGGACAGGAAAGAAAGTGTTTATGATGTCACAGGCCATTAGAGTTGTTTAAAACTCAGGTACCAACATTTCTCATATTTAACATTTTCAGCTAACACATTTCTTCTCCTTCCTATACACCAGATAGCATCCTGCTGCTACTGCCCTGAGTCTTATTTGAAAGAAAATGAATTCACAGACCCTCACGGCTGCTTATGGTCTGAGTTTCAGACCAAATGGCAGGATGGTAGCACCATTTCGCAACAAAGAAAAGGGCACTAAAGTCTGTGATACTGCCTGGCCTCAATGTGACATGTACATGTGCTCCAGCCCTACACTTCCATCCTAGGTTCTCTGTCACATGCCTCAGTGAAGTCCTCCAATTCAGAGGGAACACCATGTCCTGCCTGTTTCACACACAGGATGACTCAGAGGCAATGTGTGTAGTGCAATGTCTATTGAACCTGGGTGATGCTTGAAGAAATCATGAGGCTGCAGAAACTTATTTTTTTCTTTATAGCTAATTTTCTCTCACCTACAATAAATACTTCAAATTCCCAAGTATATAACTCTGATTTTAGATATTTCCATGTTGTTATGAAGGAAGATGGCTAAAGATTTGTTCAAAAAAATGATACTTTCCATGCTTATCTTATTCTCATTCTTAAAATAATTTTTAACTAAGGTAGTTAAGATTATTAATTATCTATTATAATCACAATAAAGACTTTAAGGAGGCTCTTAGGCATGAATGGAGAATTTTAGGACACATTAGTATATGTAGCATGATGGAAAGACCTGAATAGAACTAAAATATTATATTTTTATCTGTAAGAAGATAATGTGACATCAAATTATTCTTTGGATCCATTTATTCTTTCCCAAGACATCTAAAGCCTTTGAATATTCTTAGTATCCTGTTAAGCATGAAAACTACAAGAAGTGGCACTGATCCAGAATCTATTATAGTCAAAACAGTAAAAAAAAAAGAACTCTGGGGACAAGTGAACTCATTCCTATTTACTCAATAGCTGCTCCCACTGAAAATACCCTTGAATGAGCATAAACGGAAGAGCCCTAGGAATGAACACAATTCCAGAGCGAAAGCAATCATTTTCATTTTCTATGAAGAATGTCTTACCTCTGTGGAATATAAAACATGTGTTGTGGAGGTGGTTTATAGAGGATGCCTTCATACACAGGCCATAGCCCACTTAAGATTCTGAAGAGAGAGCTTTTCCCACAGCCATTGGGACCCGTAATCAAAAGATGCATCCCTTCTTCTACCTAAAGTCAGAAGTAAGATAATTAGCTGCAATATTTAGTAATTATTTCATTTGGTAGCATTTAAAGGTGATTTTAAAAATTCAATCACATGACAATATTGGATGATAAAGAAATCAAAGAAAATGTATCAGGATGAGAACATCAAGGTTGGCTTGACTATTCTCTGATGCTAAAAGTATCTTCTCTGAATGAACAATGGCTCTTCAGTACTTCAATTGAGATATTGCTATCAGATCTAATCACATGTAAAGAAATGAGCTACACATGGAAGAAGATGAGCCATAAGACCTAAATTAAAAATACATTAAATTTCATTTTACTTACATTACTATTTTATTAAATTTATATAGATCCAAATGCAACTGAAAATTGAATATACTAAAAGAATAGTTATCCAAGGAGCTAGATGGGCCCTTAATTTTTTACTTTAGTGTCTGAAATGCTACAAAAGCATTTAATCAAGGCGGAAATGTCATAAAAGGGCCAATTTCTATCAGTTCTTAGAAATTTAACGCTTTAAAAAAAAGTTGGAAAACATTTTCGTATTGATATTTCCTTAGCATAATTTCCCAGTAAATTCTGAGTAAATACTCACATTTTGTTTTCTTTTTCAGTAAGTCAAAATTTTAAGTTTGAGGACCAACAAAAGGATGAAAATCGATTTTCTTAAAAAGTATATATTTCCCAATCAATACTGAAGCACAACTTTTATGCTATTCTCGTGAGATTAGAACTGAAACACAACTTCCAGAGGCAAATATAATAACAAACAGTATGTTGTAACAAAATACATCTTCATAGTATCATAACAGTCTGTAAGAGTCTCCCACTGGATTATTGATTATTTTCTATAAGAGATTGAACTCTGGGTTTTTCTGCAAGGTGTGATGGCTCTACAGTGGCATAGTTAGAAAACAGCAATATTCAGACCTTGCCACCTGTTTATTTGGAAATTAGAGCAACAAGAACCAATATTATATTACCTATACTGACAAAGCAACAACAGAAATACAGAGCCATATAAAAATCACAGATTGCTTTCATTTCTTTGTTTTCCAGGGTGAGGACTGAACTCAAGGCCTTTACATGCCAGGCAAACACCCTACCCACTTAGTTTTATCCCTGACTAAATTGTTGAAGTATTAATATATAATAAAACATTACATATTTGCAATGACTATATAATTGGTACTCATGTCATATCCTAATAATAAAACCATCCTATAGGTTTATAATGGAACAATAAATCCTGTCCATACAATTACTTTACAATTTATTAACAAGATTATGTTCAGTGTATTTCATCCTCTCTTTTCAACATTTAGTAACCTTCATCAATTGCAAATATATCTCTAATAATTAAGCCTATGCTAAGATCTATTCCAAAACCATTAGTATTATGATGTTCATAATTTGATTATGTAGTTTGGTCATGCCTTTGTTCACACATAGCTCAATTGTCCTCATTTTAGTTGATATGGTTTGACTCTGAAATGTCTTCTATAGAATCTATGGGGTCACTAAGTCTCCAATTTCTGGGACATTTTGGAAGGCAGTGGAAAGCCTCAGACATGAGTCCTACCTGGAGGAAGAAGGTCATTAGGATCATGTGTCATCAGACTCTTCCGTGGCCTGACCCTTTGTTCATTCCTTCTCTCTACTTGTTATCTAGCTTGCAGTAAAGACTCTCCTTTGCTATACATCCATGAAAGATGTTCAGCTATTTCTCAGGCCCAAAGCAGTGAGACAGCTCAACCCCATATAAATCCCCTAAAACCAGGAGCCAATTAAATATTTTTCTTTTTAAGTTGTCAGTTTACTGACACAATGACTTAAGTACCTAAAACAGCATGTTTGCCATTTTATACTCATCTAAAATGTATGTTTAAATTTCACAAAGTTGTAAAACCTGGGCTATGGGTCTACAACATGCTCTTGGACTTCTTAGCTTTGTGATTAATATGTAAAATAATAAATCAATTATTTTCAACAGAATTAAAAACTAAAGTTGAATCCATGAATCTTCTGATTATTAAAAGTAGAAATTAAAGTTATAAAATGTGCATTAGTAAAGCTGAATTTGATAATGATCTTTGGGGAAATGTAATATTTTTAGAAAGTATGTAAAAGTCTTATAGATTTCTTAACAACTTTTACAAAAAGTTCAAATTCATTTCCAGATATGAATTTCTGATATTTCCTCTTGTTCCCCAAAGCTGCCTTGCATGGTTCTCAGTGCTGTGTAGTTTGATTTTCAACTTGGCACTAAGGCAGCGGAAATCAAAGTTCTCTTTTCTCCCTGCTTTGGGAGGAAGTGACTGCTCTTGCAACTGAGCCACTGTGCGTACCTTTTTGATTTCCCCCTTTCCACACGCTCCTCTCCAAGTATTTAATATAAGGTACATGGATTCTGAGTTGTTTTCTATTAGTGTGAGGCCCAGCAATCAGAAGTTTCTTGGATATCATCTTACTTTGAAGTTCAGCCTGGAAGCCACCACTTCTCCTGCTGGTGTAACTATGGGCACATTTTCACATATGATTCCATGATCCACATCAATAACTGTTCCTGTAATCAAGGAATAGTTTATGTTACAGAGGCTTTCACAAGCTGCTGCTTACTAACTTGAAGAATGGTACAACAGAATGAGCAAACTCAATTTTAAAGAGAAGTCATAGGAAAAAATAAATATACTTGAAGTCAATTTAATACCTTCACTTTTAATCTATTAAGAAAATATTTCTGAGAAAATAATTTTATAATCAAATATCGTTATCTTTATCCTCGCAGACCTAAACTCTATCTGATATAACCTAGCCACACAATTAGAGTCATGCTGTTTTCCTATTTCCTACAAGACAAAAAAAAAATACACTACTAATAGGAAGTGATGTATTTTAATACATAACAAACATTTGGAAACACAGAATAATGAAAAACAATATGGCACTAGCACTAATTCTATTTATTAGTTCAAATTTTAAGAGCAGACAACTCCTTGAGCCACATGTGCTGTCTCCTAACATAATGCAAGCACATTTTCCTGAATATGTCATATTTTCTTCTTATAGCACTATTTGTCCCTGCAATACTAATAAGAGACTGCTGTCTAAATGATGTTTGTTATTTAAATTCTATCTTCTTGTAACCATTAAAATCCATTTTCTAAAGAAGAAACCTTTAGTTCTTTTTGCAAAATGACACTAAACTATAGGGGAAATGTGAAAACACCTGAAGTTAATTACCTTTAATTGCCAGGGTGTCGCTGAGGGTGTCATCTCCACTCTTGCCATGCTTTTCAGGCTCCTGAGTGACGTTTCTCTTATAAATGCCCCTTTTCACTTCATCAAAGACCCAGAACATATTGTATACTCTAGCAGTATAGCCTGCTAGTTCAGTGATCTAAAATCAAGATGTGAAGAGTGAATTAATATAGCCATGACAGATAACTTTAAAATAGTATGTGATATATAAACCTCTTGAGTTGTTGATGAGGATTCTACTTCATTATATATGACAGAAAAAATACATCTGATTACTGAAGCAAACAATAGTAAGAATCTTATTAGGGACAATAAAGGAAGACATTGGTGTAGATTTTGTTGGAGTTGTAAAACAAAAAAATACTGATTTACCTCAGTGCTCAAAAGGAAATGAGAACCTCTCATAATATTAAGGAGTCATAAGGGTCTTTTAGTCACATTTCTGTTCTGCCCACTTAAGTGGAACAATGATCCTTTATATTTGTTTTTGTTTGTTTTTGAGTCAGGACCTCACTGGGCAGCAGCTCTGGCTGGCCTCATACTTACTGAGATCTGCCTGTGCTGCCTCCTAAGTACTGTGATTAAAAGCATGCATTACAATTACCATTCTTTTTCTTTCTCTATGTAAAATAGATCATTAATCTGTGTATGTACCTCTCATGAACCCCTGGGTTCATGCCTCCATACATACACATTTGTATTCAGAAAATTCAAAACAGAACAATGAAAATGAATATGACATTGACTCTATTTATTAGTGAAATATTAAAAAGAAAGTAACTTGTTCAGCCATATCTATGTTGTCTCCGAATACAATCCAAAGTAGTTTCCCTAAATATAAGCAGCATCAATAAGAAGGTGTATTTTTGCCCACATGGATATGAATATATTAAATAGAATAAAATACTTTTTGCCTGATTTATAAATGAATATCCCTGAGCCAAATACTGTCAAAGTTCCTGTTTGAGCAGAGGAATATCTGTGCTAGAGGGCACACATTGTGTAAGTGAGCCCAGTGAGAGGCTTTAGTATAAACCCCACAATTCAGCTTCTTGTCAAGGCGAATATAGCTTCAATGCTCGAGTAAAACTATAAGCTCATGGCATTTTTTTCTAGGACAGATTATGAGATAAGGTGAAATATATTTCTGCTTTAGTCCACAAAGCCCCATAGAAAGATATTGCTCCAGTTCTGCCAGCTGTTGATCTGGGTTAAACTCCTGCTGTTTCCCTATTATGCCAGAACAGCTTGCTATCAGGGGACTGTGAAAGGTAACTTGTCTTATCCCTGTCATTTATCTCAGAGAAAGACCTGGAAAAGTGACACCGATATGCATGCATGTCACAAAAGATGCCTCGTAACCATCATACATAGATTAACACATGGATGCTGGCAGATGGCTGAGAGCTTTGTGTGTAAATTTTAAACTATAATGAGTAGGTGTTAATGTCACAAGCCTTTTGCTCAAGAGAGGGCTTGTAAATTGGCTGTTTATTGATGTACGTTCATTATATAGCCATATAAATGATAACTTTGAAAATGTTATCTGGAAAGAAGTCTTTAGCTCTTATGTAGAGGTAAAGAGAGAGATGGTTTAACAAAACACAGATTTAGAAGAAACTTTTATGTCTTAGTTAAGATTCCTGCTGCTGTGATAAAACACCATGACCAAAAGTGACCTGCAGAGGAGAGGGCTTATTTCATCTTACAACTGCTAGGTCACACTCTGTCACCAAGGGAAGTCAGGGCAGGAACTCAAGGCAGGAAGCTGCAGGCAGGAACTGAAGCAGAGCCAGGCACCATGGAGGGAGGAGTGCTGCTTACAGGTTTGCTCCCATGGCATGCTCAGCCTACAGTCTTATACAACTCAGGACCAACTGCTCAGAAGTGGCAGATGGGACTACTCACCAACAGTGGTGGAGGCCTTCTCACAATCCCTACAACACCCCACAGGATTGCCTACAGCCCAATCTTATTGGAGACATTATTTCAATTAAGTTTCCTTCTTTCCAGATATGTCTGCCCAGCTTTGTGTCAGGTGACATAAACCAAGCAGGCAACTGGGCAAATATAAATATCAGCATAGAAAAAATATCTAAAATAACAGAAACACACACACACACACGGGAAGGGAATGTATAAAAATTAAGAGTAAGCCAGAAGATAAGTGCTTTGGGACACCAGGGGCTTTGTTGTGGAATGTACGATCTTGAGTCGAAGGGGCCTTTTCTCCTCTGCAGCTCTTGGAGAAGGCATGATGACTCCTGTCCTCTCACAGACCACATTGTGCTTTTATGAAGCAAATAGTCTTAGATTCAAGGCATACAAGGGCAAGACAAAAGAAGTCATTTTTATCACTGGATATAATCTAGAATGGTTAAATGGTGATTCCTCTGTGACTTAGCACATTTTAATGTAAGATGGGCATTTTTTTTTTTGGTCTTATTTATTTACTTACTGCTTTTTTTTCCCACTCGAGACAGGCTTTTCTGTATAGCCCTGGCTGTCCTGGAACTCAGTCTATAAATCAGGCTGGCCTTGAACTCCCAAGAGATCTGCCTGCCTCTGCTTTCCAAGTACTGGGATTAAAGGTGTGTGCCACCACTGCCTGGCATCATTTCATTTTAGTAGTAAATATCTTATTGCTTAATAGTAAAGTGAACTATGTGAAACAAAAGCTATCCCCCAAACTGGGTCTCCACATTATTAAAATTACTGTATGAATTTTTGAAAATTGGGTAGTTTTGATAAGTGGTACTGAACTATTTGTTTTATGATGGAAAAAGAATCTAAATCAATAAACCTGTTCTGTAAGAAACTCAGAAACTTTGAAGCTGCATCATACACTGCACTTCAATTAAATTAGGAGATAAATTTGCAAATGTACTTGAGCAATTCATATAGCTGTATGATATGCAAGATTAATTAATAGAATTTTAGAAATGTCTGAATTGAATAGTCTTTTTAATCTTAACCCAGAGGTACCTATGGGTCTTTTGTTGTTGTTTTACTATTTTTTAAAAAATACTTATTAGTCACATAACTGAGTATTAGGATGAATGCTAGAAATGCAAAGATGAGCATGACAGTCCTTGAGATCAGAAAGCTCAGGGTCAGGGACAGGGGAGAGAACCATATTGTGGTAAAGTGATAGAGACAGAGAAGCCCACCCAGGTGCTTCAAAGACCACTAGAAGATGTAGAATCACCTGGTTTTGTTATTCCTGGTGAGACTTCATCAATGAAGGATGAGCAAAGTTTGCAAGATGTATTGAAATGCATTGACCTAAGTACCCCACATTATGAACTTTTAACCCTCTGTAAAATCCTTGTTGCTATCACCTCAATTTACAAGTAAGAAAACAGGGATCCAGACACACATGAGGCTTGGATTTTGAAATGATGAAGCCTGCATGTGAATCAAGCATGGGCTCTAGAGGCCACACAAGAGCGATTCTTTTTTGTTCTACTCATTTAAAAGCAAGTTAAATCATGCTTGTAAGCAGAAATAACTGAACACCTCACTTCAGAGTTGCCATCCTTCAATTCCACTCTTACACATATACCCAAATGATCCACATCCATGCAACAAAGACATCTGTTCAACTATGTTTGTAGTAGCATTATTTCTAATAGCAAGAACCTGGAACCAACCTAGATGCCCCTCAACTGAAGAATGGATAAAGAAGTGGTATATTTACACAATAGAATACTATTCAGAAAAAGAAAAAAAAAAGACAAAAAACAACAACAACAAAAAACAACAACAAACAAAACCAAAACCAAACCAAAACAAATCAAAAACTAAAAAATAATGGAATCTTGAAATTCACAGGCAAATGGATGGAACTTGAAGAAATCATCCTGAGTGAGGTAACCCAGTCACAAAAAGAGGAGCATAGTATGTACCCATATGGATTTTAGACATAAAGCAAAGGATCACTAGCCTACAATTCACACCACCAGAGAAAACTAGGATACAAGGAAGAACTTAAGAGATTCATACAAGGTCCCTTGCAGAAGGGGAAAGGGACAAAATCTCCTGAGCATATTGGGAGCAGGGTTTCAGGCAGTGAGTGGAAAGGGAGTTAGGAGAAAGAGAAGGGGAGGAGAGGAGAACATGTGGGCATGTGGGGCCAGGAAGATTGAGTCGGGGGAGGAATAGAAGAGAACAAAAGAAAAAAAAAAAAAAAAAAGAGATACCATAATGGAGGGAGCCATTATAGGTTTAAAGAGAAAGCTGACTCTAGAGAAATGTTCAGAGACCTACAAGGATGACCCCAGCTGACAATCTGAGCAAAAGTATAGAGGCTATCTTCCCTGATAATGAGATTGATAACTAACTTATATGCTGTCCCATAGTTGCCATTCTTGATCTCAATTATACTCTTGACAAATTTGAGCAGAGAGAAAGAGAGAGAGAGAGAGAGAGAGAGAGAGAGAGAGAGAGAGCAGGAAAAACTGTTTCTAAAATGCTATGTATACTTCATAATTCACACTTTGCTTTATTTTTCAGATGTTTTCATATTTTAAGCAAATTTGCAAGAAATTCAAATACCTCTTTGTATGAAGACATAATTCTTTCAATAGCATCAGCTCCAGAGGCCAATAAATTCCGGGCAGTGGTAAAGGCTTCTGTCCGATCACTAACCATAGCCTGCTTTGGACCATTCTCCAGATCTAAGAAAAAAAATCACAGAAAGATTGAGTTTTTTTCCAAGTATCTGTCTTATTTTATATCAGTTAAATTATGGCTAAAATAACAATATTGTACCACTACCAGCAATTTCCTAGAACTATATCTAATTATTATATATTATTAAATATAGTGAACCCTGTGTATTAACTTTTATTAGAAGCTTCCCTTTGCATTGTTTATTTAGAACAAGAGTTAGCACAACCAAATCTATAGGCAGTAGGCTATTTCCCTTTAGCTTCCTTCAGATCTTTCCTGTATCCAACTTTCCGCTACTATTACACTGTAACTAACTCTCCTGGCATTCTTAATAAAAGGACTAACTTGAGGGAGCTGGAACAATGTCTCTGTGCCATTGGCACAAGGGAAGACCTGAGTTTGGATTCCTAGTACCCACACTTTAAATAGAAACCTGGGCATGGTTTCTTAGCACTGGAGGAGCAGGAGGGTCTCTAGAGCTCACTGGCCAACCAGCATAATTCAATTAGCAGTAGGAGAAGAAGCAGAGGAGGAAGAGGAGGAGGAGGAAAAGGGAAGAGGTTGCTGTTGAGATGGTTCAGTGGGCAAGACTAATACCTGTGTTTGATTCCCTACAACCTACATGATAGGAGAACCAACTCCCCAAAATTGTCTTCTGACCTCCACATGCATAATGTGGTAGGTACATCAGTGCCTGCATTCGTACATAAACACAGACACACACAGAGCAATAAATGTATACATGTAGGATATTTTTACATAATGAAAAATTACTTTGGCTGGGCGGTGGTGGCACACGCCTTTAATCGCAGCACTTGGGAGTCAGAGGCTGGTGGATCTCTGGGAGTGAGAGGACAGCCTGGTCTACCCAGCAAGTGGAAGGGCAGGTTCCAAAGTTACACAGAGAAACTCTGTCTTGAAAACACAACAACAAAAAAATTAAATTAAAAGTAAATAAACATAAAAAATAAAAATGAAGAGTTATCTCAAGAGATGCCTGACATTGACTTCTGATCTTCACACACATGTACACATGCACACATACACCCAAATGCATACATTCACCCACATGCATACATACACCTACATGCAGTCGTACACCCACCTGCATATATGCACAAGCCCATGCAAATGTACATATTACCACATACCCATCTACTTTCAACCTACTAACCAAAATACAAAAATTAACTATGGTATGGTTCCTATAACAGGAATTTGAACTAGTCTGGCTCCCCTAATTTTGATATTTTCCTCCTTTCTCAAACATTTTTCACCCTATAGTTCAGCTGAATCTCTAGCTGTCAGTCCTTTGGAATTTACATACTTGATTTCTTCTCACTATGTAGTTTAGACTGACTTAGTCTTTACACTGTGATCTGGCAACCTCAGCCACCTGAGTTCTAGGACTGTAGTTGTGCAGCACATGCTTGGCTCTAGATATTTTGAAATCTATTTGAATGTGTAATGAGATGTACATAACTAATAGAAAAATACTACGGCATTCATAACCAGCTACATACTGAAACAGTGAATTCACCTGTGAGCTAAAACTAACAGAAGGTTCATTTGGCTGACCATCTAAGCTAATCAGTGGGTTTTTATGAATGTGGGTTAAAAGGGGTTTGACCTTTCACTGGCAACCTCTGTTAAGAACAAGAACAACAACAAAACCATTTGCACAGATGGACAGCGGTTGGTGTGGAATCATAGGTCCAATGTTGCTTTGGTTGATAATGCCTTCTGGGTTTTTATGCTTTTAGCAGCAAAGTAAATATTTTCCCATAGTGTATGACTTTTAAACTGCCAGCAGGTACCATGGAAACAGTGCCAGCAATGATAAGCCTGTATGAACAGTCAACTGTCTGACCTCTCTGACAAGGCCAGATTCCTTAATGTCAGTGGTATAAATCCATGACCTAATATGCTCACCTATTTTATTTATCAGCTCAGCACCTTTGATTTGTCATTGAAGAAACAAATCATTACTAACAAGTTTTCCGCTGTAATGTGTCCTTCCCTTGATACAAAGAGAAGGATGCATAGCCTTAATGATAAATGAAATAAAATACATAGCCTCAAAATAATACACAGCCTTAAAATAAAAAAGAAAATGATGAAACTGAAGACTCAAATGTTTCCATTCCAGTGATTGGCCCATCATCACTGTCAATTTGCAGAGCCAGTTTCAGGGTGGTGACTGTGGCACAGGAGCAATGACAGTATGCCAGGAGTTATACAGTGTCTCCCATCCCCAGCTAACTACACATCTGAATGTAGACAAGCCATGATCTTAGTCTAAAGGTTCTAAGGCCCTCTTCTGATTGGGAAAACAGTATGTTCTAGAAGTAATGTTTTCAACTAAGTATCCAGTCCTACTATGAATGCTTGCTTGACATTGTAAAAGGGTGGCCAAGTAGATCTGCAACAGAGTGGCTGCTTATCTTTTACTTCCTCCAACAAAAATTCTACAGATTTTTTCTCTTAAACAGCCGTACTTCTGATTTCCTAGTCACTTTCAGATCCTTGCTTCTTTAAAACAGCAGAAATGATATCAGCAAATGTCAGAAATTATTTTCTATGAGCAGATGCCATACTAAGTTTTGCATTAACCCTTACGCCAATCCTGCTTCCTCTCCCTATTTTAGATATGAGGAATTTGAACCCCAGAAAAGTGGAATGGCTTTCCCAGGGTCACTTGCAAGCAGAAGAGCTTGCCTTTAAGTTCAAGCACTCGAACTCCAGAGCCCACAAGCTGGGAACATAATAAATGCTGACAAGAGCTGGTCCCTCACTTTTTACTCCTTACAAAGGACTTTTTCAAAGCATGCCAGAACATTATAATTTCACAGAAAAGCTGAATTATGTACATTATTACCCACGTGGTTAAAAAGACTAAGGCCTATAAATATAAGTAGTCTTTCCAAGGCTTAGTTAACTATTACATCAGGCCCAGAATTGCCACACTTCCCTTTTTCTATCTCCATCCCATACCGGTTTCCACTCTATATTACTCATTCTCTTTTCCATTCTTTTCCATTCCATCCATACTTTAAAAGTTTTATTTAAAATTTTTAATTTAGTATCTGTGGGGGGGGGCAAATAGGTATGTGCATGTGAGGATAGATGCTGCCCATGCAGGCCGTAAAAGGATGCCAGATATCCTGGAACTAGGGCTACAAGCATCCATGAGCTACTCAATAGGGATGCTGGGAACTTATCTCTAGTTCCCTATTAGGGCAGCAAGTGCTCTTAACCACTGGACCATTTCTTAAGTCATTGTTTCACCCATTTTTTCACCTTCTTATGCCTTAAAACATATAGTATCATGCAATTATTTTATCTGTTACATAACAGACAACTAAGTGATTGGGACATTTTATATATAATATATAATATATAATGTGTAATGTATATAATATATAACATGTTATGTTATATATTATATAAAAATGTCCACACACACACACACACACACACACACACACACACATATATATATATATATATATATATATATTTGGACAGGGTCTTTCCACATAGACCTAGTTGTCTTGGAATTTGATTTGTAGGCCCCCCTAGGATGTCCTGGAACTCAGAAATGCACTTGCTTCTGGTCCACAGTGCTGGTATTAAAGGCCTGTACCACCACACCCAGCCTTAAGATTTATGACTCTATTAGTGAACATGACATATAATTTCCAGACCTGAAACTTGAAGGTGATATCAGTATCTGACAAAAAATATTTTCACTGCGTGATACAGTATTTTCACTTGTTAAGTCACCAGAGGTCAAATACATTTAGTAGCATGGACACACAGTATACATACAGCAATCTTAAGTTCTACAGACTTTGAAACATTCCTCTCTCCTGTGAGGATCTTACATTGCCCACCTCTGCAAGATAGTCTTTGGAATGAGCCTTGTGTGACATTTGTTTCACTTATAATTCCAACATAAAATGTCCCCTTTCAGCTGGTACAGTCAGATTTGTAGGATTTATTTTTAGACATCTCATTACCTCTTGGTAAGTAAGCTAGTTAGTGTTGTGGCATACATGTTTACTTCTTACTAGCCTCAGTGGGGTTAATTTGTCAACATTAATAGGTACATTTTTTTTTCTATTCTATGTGGATTATACTAGGGTTTTCTAATAAGACCAAACACCGCTAATGGCATTGTATTATAATCTTCTTGTTGGGACTATCTCTAATGTAAAGTCAACATGAAACTTTTGACAAGTTTAAGAGATAACTTTTTAATTTATACTTTGCCATATTTCTTAGCAGAGCCAATCTTGAGAGTATACACTTCTCATTGTCTTCCTTATCACTGTAACCACTCTTTGGAAAAGTAGCTATTTCTTCATGAAAAGATTATGTCTTGAATACTAAGAATTACCTTTTACAATAGAAATTAAAATTTATCTTTTGGTAAATTGGAACACATTAAAGCAATAAAAATCAATGTTCACAGCTTCAATTTGGCAGTTTACTTGTGGAGTATATTCATTATGTGTTTAGTGCTGACCACAAAGAAAGACTGACAAATCACAGATTACTGAAATGAACATATTTAGCTTAATAATGAGTCAAGCTTGACTATTTTTAAATAAAAATTTACAATACTTTGTAAATAATTTACAATACTTCGTGTGTTGAAAATGTTGTGGAAACAGTCATTAGTTCTTTAGGAGATAAAAAGTATGTACTGATTATGTTTTTGCTTTGGACTCCCATTTCTGCTCTGTGCTTGGCTAAATCCTTGAATATGAATCTATGGAAGCTGAAGTCTAACTGCAACCCCTTCATTCCAAACAGTAAAGATCTACGCTTACATTTAGGGAGAGCATTGTAACATTGCCCTTCTTCTTGCCTTTATCTTTCTTAGTTATACTGAAGAAGAAATGTTGATTAAACAAACACTGTTGAAATAAAGATGACATACAATTGGGTAACTGCAGCTTTATATGCCCACCCCACCCAAACATCACCAAATCATGGCCATGGTAAAGCATCTATATTGCTACAAATGGAGAGTCCATTCCACAGCACTTGGATGTGCCTGAAACAGCATTCCTGGTTATCCAATGTAGCTACGCAATTTCCAAATCACAAATCAGGGCAAATTCAGTTACAGGAAATTTATCTGCTTGGTCCATAGGATGTTAAGAACAAAATATGAGGTGTGCTTATGCCACACTCTTTCTAAAGATATGAGTTCATTGTGTGGTAAATATAAACTGAAAATCATTGGGCAATGTAATTGAAATTATTCCATGTGGATTTCCAGAAGCACCATGTCAGGAACCTCCTTGGCAAGGTCCTTTGAGCCTCCTGTTGCTTCTTTCACACTGACTGTCTCATTACTGAACACAGAAAACTACCACTGATTCATAGTACAAATAACTACAGACAATGTCTGTCTATACAGTACACATGGAACATGCAAGGGCATCCTGGAGAGAAACAATGTTAAGCATATACTTAAGATTAAGTGTGAATGTTATTACCACCATCTGCAAAGCCTGTTGCCGTGATAATAGGTATTGCCACCATAATTAGTCCACAGCTGCTCCACACGTATTTCATCAGGAACTGTTCTATCATGATGTACCACAAACGCTTGGACAAAATAAGGTTCATCTGATAAGCTAAAGCCTTGTAACTTTTCTGTAGTTGCTTCATTTCTACCTAAAAAAAGTAAAAAAGATAAGAATTTATCCAGCATGAACTATGGAAATAAATTCTGCAATTACTTAAAGATTCTCTTTAATGATATAGGTATATTGTTTTGCTTTATTTAGCATAGCCATTGTTACTACAATTCTATAACCAATGAATGTAACTAGGTATTAGAATTAGTCATAATATAGTTTACTCTACACTTGTATTATTTAAAAGACCTGTTACCCAGTAAATATATTGTTTGAAACACACATGAATGGGGTAGGAGTGTAGTTCAGTGTTAGAACATTTGTCTATTACTGACATACATGAGGCCTTGGGTCCAATTCTCAACAGTTCAGTGTGTGTTGTGTGTGTGTGTGTGTGTGTGTGTGTGTGTGAGAGAGAGAGAGAGAGAGAGAGAGAGAGAGAGAGAGAGAGAGAGAGAGAGAGAAGAGAGGAAAGAGAATGTTGGCGACATACAGACAGATACAGGGAGGCAAGCAGATACAGCAAGGCAGACAGACAGACAGACAGATACACATACACACACACATGAGAGGGAGAGAGAGAGATACAGACAGACCCCCCCACACACACAGAGTGAGACTGGGGGGCAAACAGAAAGTGAATAGAAACTGACTCATAATTGTGATTTTAAATTTTAAGATGTTAAAACTAGGTAATATTCTACAAAAATATAAATAAGTAATGTTAAACACATATCATTCTAGATAACACTAGTAGTATCTAAAAACACACAAAAATATAATTAGACTACTTTTGAATTGGTTGAATTTCATAGATTTTGTCTTTTAAGCAAGGAATACACTAATTTACATTGAGTTCAGTGACTCAAATATAACAGATTAGCACGGTTAACACAACACCCAAGATCAATTCCAAGTGGGAATAGAGGTCCTAAATTAGTTTTAAACTTTTCTTTGCTACTGAAAAAGAAACAATGATAATTCTTAATGCTTTAAAAAGTACATCACTTTGTTTGGTAAGTAAAATATATCTGTAAGTACTTCATTATACATTGCCAAACCATTGATATTAAGATTTCATATGTTCCACCCATTTGTCATATTTAATATCCTGGAGCAAGTAGAATACGCCACAATTTTATATACCTGGGCTAATTATTTTCCTGTTGAAGATTCATAACATTTAAGAATACCATCGTAGTGTTTCTACCTACCCCCATCCCCTCTAATCTTAGTGTTTACTACTCTACTAGGCAAAAGTTAATTATCTCTGTCAAAAGTACAAGCTCAACACGAACTAAAAATAAAAGACATGCCATTTCACTAGACCTCCCCAATTGTTAAGATTTAGAACACTTTCTTATTGATCAGTCTTGCAACGTTTTCCAAGCTGTTTTCTCTTTGAAAGCAGCTTCCCTCTCTTGAACACAAAAGAACAACAAATAATAGCACCCTCACACCCCTATCATAATCCAAAGAGGTTTACTCGTAGTCCCCAAATATGCATTTTCTTACATGTACATACCTGCTCACCAAATTAATATTTAGGTTATAAAGCCTTTGAGGTCATTTCATTTATATTTAAGTAACCGAGGCTCTGTAGACTCCTTTAAAGAGTACGAAATTTTATTCTCATAAAAAACTTCATAAAACTGTTTAGTTCACTAACAGTTGGTGATTTAAAATGCTAATGGATATATAATATATATTTGTTAATATGTAATAATATATAATATATTCCATTATATGAACAAGATTAGCTGCCAGTGAACTCTAATGCTCAGAAAGTGGGCCTGTCAATGAGACAACAGATGGTATCTAGTAGTGCAGTGGGTGCTTGGACAGTCTCAAGTTTCACCCGTTGCTTTAATGTCTGCCTTACCTTATGTCCTCTGTAGAAGGCAATTTCTTCCACATTGGCTATGATTCTGGAGTGAACATACCGCAGATAGCCTTTCCTATGAGCTTCCTCGGCCACCAGTGTACCAAATTTGGGAGAGCAAGCTTTCAGCACTTTAGCAGTGGCATACACCACAAGTCCTGCTAACAGGGTGGGCCCTATTGGGCTTGCTCCTCTGGATGTAGCAGTCCGGATGAGAGTATAGGAAGTTAGGATTACATCTAAAATAGGTTTGGTAAGGTTGGAATACAAGTGAGCCACAGATTGTGAGAACATCATAATGTCTTCAGTAAGGGACTGGTCCGGGTTGGCCAGCCTCCCGTCCATATTTATCACCTTATAGTAAGTCTGATTTGCAAAATAGGTTTCATAGGCATGGTCTACCAAGCGAGTTCTGAAGGCCAGAGCCAGTTTGCACTCCAGGTACCTGATAGCACTGTTGACAAAGGTGGCAGGGATGGCAATCATAAGCCACTTGATTAATTTGATGATGAAACTCCGAGGCTTCTTTTCCACGATGCTTTTCACGATTTTTCCATCCAGACCAGCCACATAGATAGAAAGAAATGTTCTTGAAATGAGAGCCACCGAGTGGAGGCAGAGCCATGCTGTTTCAGTGGTCACAAGTTTTGGAAAGAGGATTTTCCGAAGTTCTAGTAGCTGTTTGAAAAATTCTGCATTCAGTCCGGGCGCAGGCTTTTTACAGCCGATCTCTGTGCAATGCAGTATTTCTCTGTTCTCTGTAGGAGGGTAAGCGGCTGCTTCTTCCTTCCTGTGGCCAGACTGCTTTAAACGCTTGCCAATGATGGGATAGAGGGTTTTCAGAGCATATGCCGCAGCCACCAGGCAGGCAGCCCTCTTAGCAGCACCGGATTTGGTCCATTTCACCCGGTAGGCTGCTGCATTTAGCATATGTATCATTTTCCCAGCCACACGGATGAGTTTCTTTTAAAAGAATTTGGTTTAAAAGCTCATGCTCCGCGGAAAGCCCAGCAAACGTTTCAGAAAACCCCACCGCCTCCCATGCTCTTCAGCCTGTCTCCTCTACTCTTATTTTGTTCTTCAGTGACGGATGCAGCAAAGCTCAAACTCCACCGCATCTACTGGGGGCAAGCCTCTCACCAGGCAGAGCTGGCCAGGCTCCTCCCCTGGGCTCCTCATTGGCTGCGAGGGCGGTGAGACCCTGGAGTCCTTGCCTCTTCCCTTTGAACCTTAAAAATGAAGACAGAGCCCAAACGAATTCTATCCTTAAACAGGGGTTCAGAGAGTTAAACATCTATTTCTGGAGAGGTCGAATCAGGTCAGCTGCTGCAGAACAAACCTTGCCTTTGAGCTACTGAGCATGCTCAGCGTCACTTAGAAACCCTCAGAAGTTTCAGAATATACATCCCGTTTCTAAGATTTCCTTCCACAAGGGGAAAGGGCAAGCGGATAGCAAGGTTTGCAGGCGCTTTAATGAGCCTAGAAGAAACAGAGAGAGGAGGGTGGAGACGCAAGAGGGTTAACTTAACGGGCCCTGGGAGAGGAGTCAGGCAACAGAGTGATAAGCGCTAGAGTCACAAAACAAAAGTAGCAAAGGCAGATCCTTGAGAATGTTTTGTTCCGAAACGTGTTTCCACCCCACTCCCCGAGTGCCCTTGCTTCCGTTTTCTCAAATATTCCCAGAACCTATTAGACAGATTGTGACCGAGGCTTTCCCTTGTAAATAAACTGGAGGCAAAGTGTGATTACAGAAGAGTTACCTGCTACACTCCGAGCCCTTCTCCCCCACTCTCCCATGCAATAACTTGTCTTGATAATAAAAATCTTCTTGCTCTGTGATTGTCATGTTTAGTCATGTTGGCCTTATACACATTTGTTTACAAAGTGCCTTTAAAAATTCCCTTGAGTTTTTATTTGGAGGTAATGTCGCCCTATAATAAGAATTTAATCAGCTGGGAATTGAGCTGGAATTAGATGATGAAAAAGGCTTTTTGGGACACATTTCAAGACTTTCCCTCCTCCCCCACATTTTTCTTTAGGCTTAGAGGCTTCTTATGAATATTTTTGCTTTTTGATAAAAAAATTAAGAATTATTTAGCAATTATTCACAATCCTAGTAAAATAGTTAATAGTCAAGCAAAACTTTTCATATTTAAAAATATGAAGGTTGTTTTTAAAGGCAAAGCAAATGTGGTTTTGCATGATTGATCTCTTTTCTACCCCTTTCTCCTGTCTTCCCAACAACTAGCTTGAACTTCTACTTATCCTGAAGGTGTTAACATTTAAGTTAGATCACAGCATGGCAAGTTAGAACTGCCAATTTTAACCAGCTACATGTTATACTACCCTTAAGCTAAGAATCCTTTCATACACAAGTGTGCAAACCTCAGTGCTAGATTATGTGCCCCAATGTTGAGTGACCTTCATTGTTCAGTTAGTCATGAACCAAAGAATTCTAAGAATGTTTCTTTAAATAGTATTTGTTTAAGCTCTTTGCTATACATGTATTACTTCTAAGAATTGCTATACAAAGATTTTTTGTTTATATTCAACTCAACAGATTTACCGATACATGAGTGAGAAATACATGCCCTCATCTTGGTATTTGATCATATTAGCCCCACACTCAACCACACAATTTAGACTTTCTGGACTGCCAATGAATACAACTACAGCAATATCTCCTGCACCTAAAGTTCAGGGAACATCAAGGTGGCAGAGCCAGGAGAATGCAAAAGCCACAGGACCAGAAAAATGGGCAGTAAGAATATGTCTCCTGGAAATAATGGGGAAGCTTTACTCAAGATCTGTTAGCTTTGCATCTGCTTCAGTGGGATCTGAACAAACCCAATACCAACATGCTAATGTGGAAGTGGAATCCTCAAGGGGGCCCTATCCCTAGACAAAGAGTGACAGGCAACTAAGGAGAGCTGAGAGAGGGAGGAATAATCTTCCCCAGGGATGAGCTCCTTAGCTGTTTTTCCAATACTGAGTGCTCAGCCCTGAAAACATATACATTCAAGCAACACTAACTGTAGGCATGTGTTTGTGTGTGTAACAATAACAATTAAAGAAAAAGAAGTTATAAATTTGAGAGGCAGCTGGGGAACATAGTAGAGTTTGGAGGGAAGAAAAGTTTGATGGGAATATATACTTATATTTTAATTTAAAAAATTAAAAGTTAAAAAAAGAGACCTTCCTGGGCTATTCTGTGGCTTGGTGACAAAGTGCTTACATAGCATGCTTGATGCTTTGAGATTGTTGGGTCACAACACGGGGAAGGGGTTGATTTTCTAAGCCCATGTGTGAAGATCACTGAGTTATAATGGTTATTGAAAAAATACTTTATTTCTTGGATCATTCTATCAGTATGTGGAAAATAAGCCTGTTTTACATGCACAAAACTGAATCATTTATATCATGTCTCCTGGTAGCTAAAGATAGATGAGTTAACTGTCATTGGACAGGACAAGGGCCAGTTTATACTCAAATGGGGGTAAAGGCAGGATGTTCATTCAGGCTGGATGCCAAGGTTACAGGGCACCTTGCAGTGAAGGAAGTAGCTTGCATCGTTGATAAACAAGAAGCAGCCATTTCAGAAAAGGGACAGTAAGCAGGACATATAGGTCGAAAGAACACTAGAGATGTAAATACTACAGCAGCTAGCTGTAGTAGGAAGATGTGTGGTCTGAATAAGAATGGCCCCCATAGACTCATGTATTTGAGTGCTTGGTCACCAGGGAATGGCACTGGTAGGAGGTGTGGCCCTGTGGGGGAAGTGTGTCACTGGGGATGAGCTTTGAGGTTTCAAATGCTCAAACCAGGCCCAGCCTCCCTCCCTCTTCCTGTTCCCTTGGATCTGAATGGAGAACTCTCAGCTCTGTCTCCAGCACCATGTGTCACTGTTCTTCCCACCATTATGATAATGGACTGAACCTCTGAAACTACAAGTCAACCCCAATTAAATGTTTTCCTTTATATGAGTTGCCACGGCCATGGTGTCTCTTCACAGCCATAGAAACCCTGACTAAGACAGCAGGCCTGGTAATGAATAATTTGGGGTATAGTGGGTAAGATACTTGTAGACGAATCCGAAGAACCGTGGTACAAGGGAGGTTGAAGGTCAGTAATTAGAATTATGAAAAAGGTCAGTGTGTGATTTGACTTGAGGGTGGTGAGCCAGTTTAGCACATACCTATGATAATTTAAATCCCACTGTTATCCTTCATGCTGCACTGCTCCAAATAGGGGCGGGTGAGTCCTAAGATTTAAGACCAGGTTCAGGGCTTCAGACAAGGGCAAAGAAAGGATTCTGTGTGAGAGGAAAGGAGACAGAAAATGTGTCACAAAACATCCCAGTCAACAATGGACCACATTTATGTGGTCCTGTGAAAAATGAAGAACTGAAAATTTCCCAATTGCCTATTGACATTACAGCCATAAATGTCATAGCACAAAGCATTGCTTGTGTATTCAAAACCATGATGTGGCAAAGTGACTGTACTCCTGAATATAATAAAACATAAATGCCATATATTTGTTTATTATGATGTTACTGCTTCACATGTCTATTATACTATTTTAATTGTTGTTTTGCAGGGTATGCCTGATGGTTTAAAATGGCTTATTATAAAACAGCATTCTATGCTATACCACTGGCAGTTCCACACTTCTCATGTTAATTGCATCTCTTAGTTATTTGCTTCAAGAGAACATGCATTATAACTTATCCATTCTAACTAGTTTTGTGCTAGTACACTTTATGTTTGACCTATGTTAAAACCATCTAAAATGAGTGCTCAAAATTTATTCTCATTGTTAAACAATGCATGGTTACATATTCTTTTAAAGGAAGGCATTAAGATTGCATGTAGTTGGTTGTTTTTACTTTTTGCTCTTTGACTCTTTTGGAGGACCCACCAATCAGGTCCCACATAAACACACACACATACACACACACACATACACACACACACACACACACACACACACACACACACACACACGTCTTATTTTTACTTATAAATGTCCCACCTTAGCTTGGCTTGCTTCTATCTATGTTAAATTAACTTAACATAAATTATCCCCATCTATCTTTATTTTATTATTTTACATGTTGATCCCAGTTCCCTCTCCCTCCCTCCTTCCCTCCCTCCCTTTTACCCTCTCTGCCCCCTCACATACACCCCGACCACCCTCCCCTCCCATCCCCCCATCCCAGTTCCACAAGGGCAATGCCATCCAGGTGGGGTCATGTAGATCTGACAGGTCCTTTGAAGTAGGGACTAGGACTTCTCTCCTGTCTCTAGGTTAATGGAATATCCCTCCATGGGGGATATGTTAGCAAGGTCCTTTTGTGCACCAGGGATACATCCTGGCTCCACTGTCTGAGGTCCCTTAGACTGCTCAGTCCTTCTGGCTGAGACCCATATTCAGGGGGGCCTGAGTCAGTCCCATGCTGGCTTCCCAGCTATCAGTCTGGGGGGCTAACAATTTGAGCATCCGTGGAGATGCTACTACCATAAATGCCCTTCCCGGAGAGTGAGATCAATAACTAAATTATCAATGGAGCCTTCATCTAATACCTGTTGGAAACAGAAGCAAACACCCATACCTAAACACCGAGTCAAACTAGAACCCAGATGCAGATGGAGAGGACAAGACCAGGTTGCAGAAACACATAGAGACAGCTGACCTGAACAAGGAGGAGCTAACAGGCCCCCATCTATCTTTTGCCTCTGGGCTTTCTCCTTTTCTTACTTCTGTGTATCTTACTTTCATTTTTACTCTGGCTGGGTGGGTGGTTGGCTCCTAGCACTCTTCTCTCCTTGTTCTTTCTCCTTGATCTTTTCTTCCTTTCTGTCTGCCTGCCAACCCTGTCTATTCTTTCTCTTTCTTTGATAGTGACCATTTTGCTCTTTATTAGACCAATTAGGTGTTTTAGACAGGCAAAGTAACATAGCTTCACAGAGTTAAACAAATGCAATATAAAAGAATGCAACATCTTTGCATCATTAAACAAATGCTTCACAGAATAAACAAATGTAGCACATTTTAAATTAGTATTCCAAAACAATTGCTAGATGGTTTCTTTTATTTTTTCTTTTATTTTTTATATTGGTAGTAAGCAATTAAAGCAAAGAGAAGGTTAATTTTAGTTTGAATTCCAAACTAGGAGAGAAAAAGGAAGTGAAAAAAAATCACTTGGTATCATAACATTATTAAATTTCCACTAAAGCATCTGAACTTTATATAATTTCATATGGGAAATATGAAAATTTTCTCAAGGGATAAATAATCTGAGAAAAATACTTGACATTCATTTAAAAAAATCTATAAATGCAAGAGGTTGGGGAGATGGCTAAGCAGTTAAAATCATTTGTTCTTGCAGAGGAACCAGGTTCCTAGCACCCATGTGGTGACTCACTACTATCTGTAACTCCATTTCTAGGGGATTCTATGTCACCTTATGGTCTCTGAGAGTATTCAGGCTTGAAAGTGGTATACACACACACATATACAGGCAAAACACCCATCACAGAAATGAAATTTTAAAATATATTTAAATTTTTTAAAAATGCAGTAATTAAATCACTCTGCTCTAAAAAGTGTGATATTCTCTTGCTCTAAAAATTGTGATATTCTCATGGCTCACCAATATTAAGAGCATAATTAGAAATAATATATATGTATTACATATACATATATATTCCATATAAATATAACACATATATGTATTACATATACATATATAATGTTTCATAAAGTATGAACATCTAATGAAGAGAACTATATGTAGATAAATATATGATGCATTTTGTAGTTCCATTATAAATCAGCAATCTTGAGAAATAAAAGATAAATTATTTGTTTTTAGAAGTTGAAAGGGTTTTTTTCTCAATAATAATAAAAAATAATATCTTATTTGTACAACATTTTCTTGAATTGTCTTCAAACTGAAAGGATTACCTAATTGATATGTTGGTCCTTGAATAGTGGTGTTTAGGTGTTTAAACTCTATGTATCAATTATGATAGCCTTACTTATTGAAGTCATAAACAATATTGATGATAACATCTTAAATCAACATTTCATCTATGCCCATGTTCCTATGGAGATACTATTTTTTATGAAGGAAAACCTGGCAATATCTTGTCTAAGTCTGTGTTTTAACATTAATCTCTAGTTCTGGCAATATCTTGTCTAAATCTGTGTCTTAACATTAATCTCTAGTCTGGTTCACACTCCCACTGCACCCTTGTGACAGAGCAAAACAGCGACTCTAGTCAGAGAGAAGTAATTTATCTAGGTTCAGTCCTTCACTCTCCTTAGCAAACAAGCAACGTTTTTGTGTATCTTCAAGCAAAAGCAAAGCAAAAAAACAAAACAAACAAACAAACAAAAAAAAACCCAAAAACCAAAAAACAAAACAAAAACCAAAACCCCAAAACAAAACAAAACAAAAAAACAATGTATTAGCTAAAACAAACAAACAAACAAAACTTTTTGTTATTTGCGAAGTTTTAGGACATAAGTAGAAGATAGATTGCACGTCCATTGTTCCTGCCTTTACTGCATGGTCAACTAAAAATAGACATTCCATGATTTTTCTGAAATGTTGAATTCACCTGTTTTGATTCAATTACATATACAATTTGGTTTTTGTTTCAAAAGTTAGGATTGTTATTAAAGAAGATGCATTTATTCTAGGTACTATCTTTTAACTTAGATAAGTATCTATTTGACGCTTTTTCTGGAAAAAAAATTCCCAATTTGAAAAAATTACTTTGTGCATTTATTCGGGACAAGAAACTTCTTATTTTTAACCCAAACATTATGATTTGGAAGAGAAAAGTTTTGTGAAGACCACAAAAACCACACAGAAATGAACAGAAAAATCCAATTTTTGTTTTGGGATTTTGTTATTGTTGCCCAGAAAGGACTGTAAAGTCTTAGGACTTTTACAGCCAATTAAAGCTCCATAAAGCTCTTTGAGGGACTCACAAAACGTACCCAACAGTTAAATTTGTCCTGTGTGGTGTTTCCTCTCAACAATGTATTCTAAATATTAAAAAAAAAAAAAAAGGTACTGCAAACTCAAGTCAAGAAATTGGGCACTGTGTGACGAGTTTGAATGGCAATGTCACCTCCGCACCCAGGTATCTGTAGATATCTGATATCCAAGTCTGCCCTGTGAGCTGGTGGCCCAGCACAGAAACAGATGGAAAGCGGGGCAACTATGGACGCCTGGCCGGAAGCGCACGAGGGGAACCTGGTGCCACACCGGAAGGCGCTCTCGCGCAGTGGCTGTAGGGAGAAGCCCAGGCTGCTATGTGGATGGTGGGCTCTCCGTGTGCGAACTTAAGAGTGTGAGCTGCGAGGATCCAGCACGGGAAGAGATGAACTGGGTCGGGGGCTCACGGTAAGGTATGCGCTCAGGTTGAGAGCGAGCCAGCCTTGTCCTGGAGTACAGCCGTGGTGGGCATGGAGTACGCCATCTTCCTAGGCCTCTGAGCAAGGCCACAGGCTTCCCTGGTAGATGCCAGGATGGATCCTACAGAACTGGTTCCCCCTCTCCACGGGGTTCTCTGAGGAACCTCAGTGGGCAGGGTGAGGTTCCTGCTGTATTTCCTAGCCACCCTCCTCTGGTGAGGACCTCTGAGCATGGGATACAGTCTACACACGAATTTCAAAACACCCCATACCCAGTTGTACTTCTATATGGCAAGGCAGCAGTTTTACCATATTTTCAAATTATAGTTAAAAATATTTATTATTATTATTATCAGCTTTGTTTATTTGTCTCACTATTGAACCTAGGCTGACCTGGAACTCAATAATCCTACTACTTCAGCTTCTGAAGAGCTGGGTTCACAGGCATGTGCTACAATGCCCAACTCATAGCTTATTTTTTAAAAGACAAACACAGTGAAAACGTAGCTTGAATGAAGAGAATTTATAATTTTTTCTTATATTCTGGATTAATGGCAAAAATATTCATTATAAATTCACAATTTATTTTTGTTACTGTTCATTATTTGATATTTATATATGATACATATTTGATATATGTATATAATTATATATATTATATACATATGTATGTATATATATATATCACAGATTTCAGGATAGCAGATATTCATATAAAACATTGAGGAATTTTATAGGAGGAAAATGACTAGTAATTTTAATAGTGGCACCTCTGTTGAATATGTTAGCATTGTATTTTAGAAATGTACATGTTTTAAAATGGGTGTGATGACCCATGGTGGTAATTCCCTGCAGAGTGGCCATGGTGAGAGGGTGTTCACTAATTTCAGGTCAAAAATACCATCTCAAAAGGCAAAACAGGGACCTTGAGATGGCCCAGCATGCAAAGATGTTTGTCATACAAGCCTGATGACCCAAGTCTAATCCCTGGAAACCCCACATGGTAAAAGGAGAGAAATAAGTAAGGAAAAGTTGTGCTGGGATCTTCACACACAGGATGTATGTTGTGTGACAAAACTTTTCCTGGGGAGACACAACACACAGGCCTACTTACCTCAGATAAGGAGCCCATGTCAGACCAAAGCACAGAATTGTACTTGGTAAACCAATTAATTTTATTGGTGTTTCTTTCAAGAATATGGGTGAGAGGTTACTTACAGGAGCAGAGCTGGCTCAAAGACAACTGAGTCACCAAAGCCCGCCCCAGCATAGGTGACAGCCCCCCAAATTGGAAACCTATAGGGTGCTGCATAGCCTGCAGGCCGATAAACAGGTTGCAGAGTGTCCTTTCCAAGTGTTCCAGTCTAATTCTGTTCCAGTCAGCTGGTCTGGTCTAAGGTACTTTGTTTCAGCTTGTCTTATTTACTGGTGAATATGGTCAGTTTCAAGGATTTCCTGGAGCTATTTCAGGTTGTTTCTCTTTAGGCTTGAAGAGGTTCTGAAGCTGGATAGTATCTTTCAATTTTGAATAGATAGTATGTTTTCAATCTTGGATGGCTAGTATGTTTCAATTTTAGATGGCTAGTATGTTTCAATCTTTGATAGTATGTTTCAATTTTGGAAGAAACTGCTACACAACAGTGTGGCAGGTGTATGTTTACACAATACCCACAAATAAGTAAACAAACTAATGTAAAACAAGACAAATCAGTCTGGTTTATTCTGGCTAGCATTCTACTAGCATACCTTCACTTTAGAGAAAGGTGGAAATGTACTTACTGGCTTCAGTAGGATATAGCTGATTCATGACTATAATGGAATATATTAAAATTTGTCTTTCTTTAAAGTGAGTATTAATGGCCTGAAGCTCAAGCTCCAGGGGAGTAAACACCCTCTTCTGGATTCCACAGATACCTGCACTCATGTGTACATATACATTATTTAAAATAATATATATTAAATATGACACAGAAGTTTTAAAGACCCCAGTGCTACCAAAGTGCAGGCATTACTGTCATATCATGAACTTTTCAGCTATTTTGAAGTTGCTTTAGTTGCTGCTGGAAAGTTGTAAAAGCAGTGGTGTGAAGGAAACTCAGTCTAAGATTGCTTTTCTCAACATGAAGTACAATCACTCTTGTGGCATTAACTACCAGGGTGCCTAAACCATAGACTAAATAAACATGGTTACTTCTTAGCACTTTGCTTTTGATCAGAGATTAAGAGAGGAAAACCTTCTTTAAGTATAAACCAACATTGATACATTGTAGAGTAAATGTAGAACAGGTGAAATACTAAGACAATGGCTCAGTGAGTAAAGGTGTTTGCTGTCAAGCCTTATGACCAAAGTTTGATCATTGCACTCCATACAGGAGGAGAGACTGTCTGCTGAGGTTGTCCTTTGGCCTGTAATTGCACATATGATCACACACACACGCACACACACACACACACACACACACACACACACACACACACGTTAAATTTTTTAAAGAGTTAGTATGTAATTTTAAATGCACTTTTCTTGGAAAGATGGGGCTCTATATGATGAAGCCCTGTGCCAGTTATGAACAAATGAGTCTCTCCTCTGTCTACTGGGAGAGCAGGACAGGGCAGATAGGGCCAGCTTGTCTTGGCCCTCTGATCATCTAAAGGGCCTCAGCCTGAGACAGTGATTTTGGGAAGCAAGGGAAGCCACTTAGAGCTGCCTCAGCATACAAGTTTTAATACCCATCTCAAACTGTCCTTGGTTACTAGGGGTCTGTTGTAGTTGAAGATTTTGAGAACTGTTAGCAACTTAACATTTCAATAATTGACTGGAGAACAATTAAAATACTCCTTCAGAACAACTCCAAATCATTCTAAATTAATTCAACAAGAACTTTTTTTTACATACATAACTTTAGCATGTAGGGTTAAACACATATAAAATTTTGATTTCACAAAATCAGCTTACAGTAGCATATTGAGTTTGGAATTATATAAATCTAGATATTAGGAGAAACTTAAATAATCATAAATATGTAACAAGTGTTGTTCTAAATATAAGAACCTTGTAAAGTATACAAGCAACTGAAGCATAGTTAGTATGAAGTGATTTGCTTGTAAGTAGCAGTTAGGACATTAGTTTCAATGTGTCTGATCAGTCAGATGTTTCATAAAAGGACGAATATTGTAAAGGTTGCTCAAATAGTGGTAGATAGAAATTCAAAGCCAAGAAACTGCAAGTTACTAAGCTTAAAGGACATCAATATTTTACAAGACAAGTGCCACTGAAGCAATAAAACAAAGGTTTTTAAAATTGAAAAGAAAATAAGTAAATGATGAGATTGAAGACCTAGTTTTTAGTAAGACTTTCTGAAAGAAATGGGTTGGGAGGGTAGGTACTGGCTTAAAAATCCCTGAAAGGAATGTTTGGAAGATAGTTGGTGGGTCTGCATTAAGATGCTCTCACAATAAAGGGATGTGGACATGTTTTTTGTTACAGGAATGAATCAGGGTGCAACAAGTTTGTTTTTTTAGTAGAGGCCATTTGATAACATTTGCTCATTAGAAACAATATTCTTATATGCAGAAATGATATAGCAAGTTTTATTGGAGAATTGCTTGATGGGGCATCATCACAGGTTTGTAACTGAATGGTCCTTACAACTTCTCTTGTTTAAAGCAAACTTGACATTTGACCTTTAAGAGCTCTTTGTTGTGGAATTCTATCAGTACCACGTAAAATGTCTTTTATGAGGGAAAGAGCCTGTAGCTAGAGAAGTAAGCCTTTCCCCTTAAAGTATTTACTTTGTTGGACTCAGTGCTTTAGTTTTTGGTGTTTTTACCAGATGTAATAATTAATTTCAGATGAAATCTCAAGTGTAAATTGATTAAGCCACAACAAAGTCAACTGCATGGAAAGTAGCTCCACATTCCTGTAGTTGAAACTTAATAATCTACAAAACTGCTATAATTTTTAAATTTGAAATTAAAGAAATTTCATCATCTCCCTCCTTTACTGCCCCCTATCATTGCCATGTACTCCCTTGTTCTCTGTAAAATTCATGGCCTCTATTTAATTGTTCTTACACACACACACACACACACACACACACACACACACACACACACACACAAAACTGATTAAGGGGTAATGAAAATGTAAGACATTTTCTTTTATGAAATCTCAGGTAAATGGCTAGAACTAGAAAAAGACAGTATTGAAGAAGTAAACCAGATTCTTAAAAGACAAATGCCAAGTGTTCTCTTTCATCCATGGTTCCTAGCTCCAAACTTCAGATGTGAGTATCTCTGGAGTAACTGCAGAAACCAGGAAGTAAGAAGGCACCATGATGTGGAAGGAGCCATAGAGAGGGAAATAGCAGGGTACAGGTGATTTGAAGAAAGAATGGGAAAAACAGAGGGGGCTTTAATTAGGGAAGGGAAGACACGAAGGAGAGAGGAGGGTAAAATAGCAGTAAGGATGTCTGAAAGGAATCATTATACACCTAATAATTAATATAATATGAATAAGTCTGTGTATAATATACATATATGGTTTAAATGAAAAAGTATTTCTGGTCTGGTAATGCTCCCTGTGAGAGCTATAGACCATCTAACATAAAGCCCAACGCCAGGCCTGAGATGCTTCCACTTGGAGTCAGGGGAGTCCTAGAGACTCCCCAAACATTGTACACTATTGCTGTTGCTTTTAGTTCCCTTTCAGAGGTGGGAGGGAAGTCCCCATTTCTGAAGACACTATGCATTTGAATACTGGGCCAGAAGGATGCAAGTTGGACCTGTCCTGAAAGCCTCTGTCTTGAGGACTAGCTTTCATGATAGTTGAAGGTGCCATGTCAGCTTCCAAAGGGGAGATGCACCATTCAACTTTTGAGCAGTATTTAGATGAAGCTTGGGCAAAAACCAATAATCAAAACCAATCTAGATGTTGTCAGGACTTAGCTGTCCACTCAAGCAGTTACGCTGATCAAACACACTTTTTGT